GTGCCAAGAAAAAATTATTTGGGGAGAGTTGAGTGAAAAGGGTGATGAGGGTGGAAGAGAATGGGAAAAACAACAAAACGAACTGAGGCAAGTCCAAAACAAAAAAGAAAGAAAAAAAGTTCAGTGGAAAGCGGCGCGCTTTCCTTGAGAGTTGACAGGAAGGACGCAGCTTCCCGAAGAATCACGACGAACGAAGTGCAAAGGAAGGAAATGTGAAGTAGAATTGACGGGCGTCACCAGCACGACCGACACAGCTTCCCAAACAATTGGAACGAACACACACGACGCCCCTGTCATTTCTCGTTTCATGGTCTCGGAACCAGTGAGGGAAGGAACCATTCATCACTCCGAGGGGCTGTTGAAGAAAAACAAAACCCCCCCAAAAAAAGCAAAAATGTACACCAACTCCCCCATCCCCACATCTAAATCTCTGTGTTTCTTTGCTTTGCAAGACATTTTTGAAAGACAGTCATGCCAGAGTCTTTGGTTGAAGTTTTTGATCAAGCAGGACTAATCCCAAGTCCCTATGTTGCTTCAAATGAATGAAGCGATGGTCGAGAAGATTGCGGCATGTGCACGCAAATCCTCAGTATTTCGTTGCCGGTGGTTAAAGCCGGTAGTATGTTCGATCTTTTGGGAAAGAACAAAGTTTGTCTAGACTCCCACGGATGGGAATCGAATGGTCGAGCTCTTGCGCATGTGCGCGACGAGCAACCCACTTGCGCCAAAGGGGCAATTTTTGTTGTGGGTTTTCAGGGCGGCTGCGAGAAGGATGTGGAGAACATGGCTCGTTGGCGTACGAAGATGGGTGTCAGGGTGGGGGCTTATATACTGAATGGTCTAGATGGGACTTGGGCCATTTCCGTGATTGATGTGAGGTATGCATGGTTTGATGTCAACATCGTGACTCCATGGCGGTGCGGTGCAATGGAGAGAACATATGTGGAAGATGGATTATATTTGAAAGGGTATGAGGATATGGTCTTTTTGCTAAAGAATGTCAGACCCTTGCCGATCTCCCAGTAAAGCTACTCAAACAAAAACTGGCAACATGCCGCCCATTGATGACCACCCGATATTCATCCGTGCCCTCCTTAACTCTTCCGCCTCTTCATTTAATCCATGATCTCTTATCAACTCCTCCAAGTGCATTGAGCACGCAACATACTCCCGGTTCGAAGCCATAGACAGACCTATTTTCCTCCACTCGATCGCCTCCGACCACTGCTGTGTAGACTCATAATAGTCGCCCATCCACCCACAGTAGATGCTTCGGAGTGCTTTCAAGACTCCCTCTAAATCCTGACAAGAACCGGTCATCGCTGTCGCATTATCAAATAGATTCTCCAAGCGCGGAGCAAAGTCGAACCCGAAATCTCCCTTGTTCCACCTCGCCCCCAATTCTTTGCTTTCGGGATCGTTCATGATGATCTGTTGAGCCAACGAGAAGGACTCTGTGTCGAGACAGAAACGGAATAACAACTCGTTGTCTATAGCAGCAGGAGGCTGCAAGCGATAGCATGCCTCCTCCTGGGTTGCAGAGGAGGGACTGTTGCCCTCCAGGTAGTGAGACGGGTATGCGTCACCGGGGCTATCGCAATTATTGCAGAAGGCAGCAGTAGCAGCCCTTGTTGGCGTCTCTTCAGGCTTGTTGAGGTCGTGATCAATCATCCAAAAAGGTTCTCCGGTGCTTTCAGGAGAGGCCGAGTCGGAGGAGCACGTGTCCGTTCCCGAGCGAGGTGATCGCCGTTTGATGGCGTACTTGAAGAAGTTCCATCTGGCAAACTGGTTCTTGTACATCTTTGGTCTGTGTAGGGCGGTTTTGTCAGTCACGCTTCTTCTACAGTCAAATCCCAGGCATAAGGATCACTTACGTTGCTTTGAATTGGTATGTGTTCTCCATGATGACGATGATATCCTTGAGGATATGATTCTGTACAATGTACAGTTGGTGGATGACGTTTTTCCAAGGCTCCCAATCCCCGGCTTTGCGTGGAACCATGGGACTATGCGCCATGTGCCTCTTTGAACTCATACCACCCAGTGTGGTGTGCCTCCTGACGTGAGTCCCACCTTGTCTGTCTGTCTTTCTGGGGTAGGAGAATGTGCGACGGTGACGAGGCGCAGTTTTATTACTCTCCGATGGGCTCGCAGAACGCGACACCGGGGGAGATGGTAGCTGGGAATCTTGTTGGAATCCTGACAAAGGCCTTGGAGACGGGCTGAGCCTTGCCCCAGTGTATGCATTGCTTTGAAAAAGGACTTCATCCAAAGAGGGATTTGGGAGGCTATTCACAGGCGTGGAAGAGTATTCCTGAGACTGCCCATACATGATTATGTCGTCTTGCTGTTCGAGGAATGCTGCAATGATATCGTCTGGAGATGGAGAGGTGCGCATTGATTCCGGGCTGGAATCGTCTTGACCGGCGTCTGTAGGCATGTTTGTAGGTGCTGTAAAGCGATGATTGTACCTGAGACAGTGCGGTGGAGAGAATGTTAGGTCGTTGTTGAGCCAGAGCTGTCAAACCAATTGAACAGAAAAAGCAAGGTCTTTGTGCAGAAGCTAAATAGTGTATTGATGGACGATGAGATGCCAGGAGAGGGGAAGGGAGGACAACATTGGCAGGGGAATGTATAAGCACTCTTATATGGGCCATGATTGCGTGGAATGTCTAATCGCGAAGTCCAGGTTGAAGGCATTCTCTTTCCGTTCCAAGAATCGGTTGGTGCCGCTCTCTTGATAAATATCCAAAACGGGATAATGGGGCGCCAACATGGACAACAGGACAACATGTGCCTCGTCCAAGGAAGATCGGATAAGTCAACCGGGAGCTAAGAAGTCGAGTTAGTCTTGTGAAATGGATAGCTCCAACGCCACGACTGGTCACGACCCGAGAGCCTGGTAGGGCGAAGGGCATCCTTTGTTAGCGGCCAAAGTGGTGGTGACCTATCGGCTCTTGGAAGCGGGAAAGGAAGCGGAGGTACGTACCCTTCTGCCGTAAGCGAATGGTGAAGCAAGTGTGCTGTGCCATCCGAAGGCTTCCCACACAAAGCTGGCAACGGTCTCAGGGTCTAAGACGGGTAGATTTTCGGGAAGTGTGTGCCGCTCTCAGCCAGGTCATATGTCTCCCGTCTTGCTTCGCCAGTCTCGAGGCGCCGCCATCTTGCTGTCGAACTGACAGTGTTGTTGGCAGTAGAGAAACCCGGCAACCATCTCGGCCGTGCTCGCTGCCTGTTATCTCCAGAACCGAATGCGATCTCAGCCGTCACCGTGACTCAAATCATTCAGCCCTGTGAAGTACCCGGGATTGGCACAAGGGAGTTAGTTCGCAACATGTCTCTTCAGCTCCACGGCGACGTGTACCGGGATCAGAGTTGCCGCCGAGGATTCCGTCGACTGTCAAGTTCGACATATGCAGAATCATTCTCATCACATCGCATTGGTTGTCGCGGAAGATTTGGTGCTGTCGTGGTGGTAATCCGTGCTTTCTTTTTGCCGGTGGTTGTTTTTTTGTTTTGGTCAAAGTTGTTTGCTGAAAAGAAGATGGCGACAATTTGCGAGAGCTTCAATGATGCTGCCCCGCTGTAGCTCGGAGACAGCTGGTGGATCACAACAGATCCCCGGGTGACCCACTTGTTCCTGGATTGTCCCACTTGACAAGCAGCAGAAGTGGAGAACGTGGCTTTCCACTTACAACCACAGGTTCCATTTTCGTTTCTGTTCTTCAACTTCGTCCTGCTTTCTTCCTGACGATTGGCCGGGGTCGAAATATCCATCATCGCAATACCTCCCGATCAAGTGCGCTCACGCTCATTGCACTCGCTGAAATGACTGCATTCACTCCAGCAACGAACACTCTTCACTCTTCATTCAGATTGCTCCATCTACCTTGGACACGACTGGTTCCGGCAATGATTCAAAAACCACTTCAAGCACGCTGAACCGTTTTACACGACGACAGTTGTCGAGCCGATGACCGGCAGATAGCTCGTTTATCTTTTGGGATTGAAATCATTCTCTGGTACCGCCGTGTAGACAAGACATTATAATGCTCCCTCTTTCTCTGTTCAATCCTCACCTTGAAATCCTTTTCCCCCAATAACACTTGACCAGATCCGACAGATATTTACCTGGATAGTCCTGGCTGTGCCTTTACATCAAAATGCTGATCTTCTCCTTCATAGGGTCTTTCCCGTCTGAAAGAATCCTTACACGTCTTTTCAGCTCCTCCCAAAAGGTTCGGTCGGCGTTGTCACCGTCATAGATATAGTCATACGCCCCATAGGAGCAGAAACCAAACAACACCACCGACAGCCCCAACGACACGATGTACACAACCGCCATATACGAAGCCGAATCCCATTTTCTGTTCTCCAAAACCGGTGTGCACACGACGACTGAGAGACCGACCATGTAGAATACGGTCGAGTACGCAATGAGCATAATGGAGCATTGCCACACAAACGTTCTTCGTGAGCTCAGTGCCCACTGCCGCGAGTCCCCAGCTCTCACTGGTGGAGGCGCTTTGACCATCGCGCTCGCTCCACTGCTTGTCTTTTGTTGACTCGGTCTCTCGCCGGCTTGTGCTTCAACATCGGTGGGGAGGTGCTTGAGGCGAGGCCTAAGGGCGGGCCCCTTTTGCGCCAGGATCTGCTCCAGATGCCGTCGGATCACAACCTTCGCCGAGTGTGGGCCGCAAGTTTTCGCGTCAAAGTCCTTTTTCTGGATGAGCGACAGCAACGACAGTTGCTGCGACGAGAGAAAGATTCCCGAGATACACAGCGAAAGCGATGCATACCAGAAAGCAGGGCCGGTCCACTGCGAAGTCTTGACGTTCTCCCAGGAAAATGATGCCGTGATGATGCCTGTCATGACAGCTGCCTATTCGATTGTTGTTTTTGTTGTTAGCAACAGGTTCTCAATCCTGTGACAAGGCTTCACGATTCACGGTCCATCATCAAATGAGTGGTGTTGCTTACTGCGACTGCAACAAAGGACAGCTCATCTCTTTTTCCCGTCCGCCAGGCCGCAATGGCGTCCAAGAGCAACTTCCGGTTTTCCTCTTTCTCTAAGTCAAGGCCAGCAAGCTCCTCGATCTCTTGCGCTGGTCGAACTGTGTTATAGATCAGGAGACGTTGGTATGGGAGCGTGACGAAGAACCTAACCACGGTAAAGACAGCTGTGATTGCCAGACTGAGCCACTCCAGCGGCATGTCGCGTTTTCTTCGGATGATTTGAGAGGCCATCATGTATGGGCAGGGAAAACAAAAGGGTAGAGCTATGAGGTGGAAATGTCTGCCTCAAACTGGATCTAAGCAGGATCCGGTTCCAGCTAAATACAATCATCGGACCAAGATGTCACTGGTTCTTTGAATATCGGGTCCCAGGTGCCTGATGGGGGACTTTGGCACATCCGCCTGTGTTGAATCACCGCAACACATTCGCCTGCATGTGCAGATGACCCAAAGAGAAGGTGCGCTCAGCCTCGCCCATCAAAATCCACTCAGCTCCTCGCTCATCGCAGATCATACACCGATTTACTCCAAACGACACCACTTCCTGATATTGTGCATCCCACGCACTCTCCCATTTGATTTTGTTATCACCCCATCGGCATCCAGCCTACACAGTGCCATGTCGACTCCCCATGGGCTACCCCCGAACCAATCTGTGAGCATGCAATCTGCCTAGACCGCGGGTGGCTTGCAGTTGTGCAGGATCAGGGTTCAGCTTTGACAGCCTGATGCCTCCCTACTTGAGACATCCACTCATAACACTGGCGAGGGAACCTTTCGGTTGCCATTAGCAGCCAGTAGTTGGAAGGGGCGGCTTACTCGCCCAAAGTCATGCCGAAGTGCCGATGGTAGGTTGAGCGGAACTGTGTTGATCCATTCGGAGGATCAGCGGTTTGCATCGTCTGGGGAATATCCGAAAGGTTGGAGAAGGTCAAGAGTTCTCAAGACGGCGAGTTTCGGGCCCAGATTCTCCTTTAGAAAGGGGTACACTCTACACACGCCCAAATACCCTACAAACACGCCCATACAAGTATACAATTTCGAATAACGCAAGACAAAAAGCACCACGCTACTTCAAATATTCATTTTTCTTCCTAGCCCCTAGTTTATGAGTCTTTTAAAAGTAACCCAATGGTTTTTAGAGCAGCGGCCTTATACATTTGGAGTAGTAGATATCAACTAGCTAATAAGTAGGTACTTCCCTCTTATCTTCTCGACGAAACTGCAAAGGGCAGCGAATTTATACCTAATTCTAATTAAAAAACGAATAAAATTTTTGAAAGGGGCTTCATGTTTATATACAAAGCCTTTCTTGGCTTGGTTTATGGTAGGAATGGCTGGTATAGCCACTTCGTCTTCTATCATGGGCGTGTTTGTAGGGTATTTGGGCGTGTGTAGAGTGTACCCCTTTAGAAAACTCTGGAACTATTTCCCAAATCCCCATGAGGCTCGCTTCTTGATCTGTCTACCATTAGGTTCCCAGATCCAACATCTCCCTTGGCTGGAACATTCTTCTCAATATCTGCTAGCTAATCCTATTACACAATGCAGCGGTTTCCTGCTAAATCCTATGGCCAAATCCAAACGTCACCTAGACCTCTCATCTTTGCCACCCTTCCAACCTCTGAAGGGAAGAACCACTGCTTCGAAAGGACTTGATCTCAAGGACATTCATAATATTTGATCCAGAGCATTTACAGACTAGAGTAAGTACAACTCAACCTTCCTCTCAATTTCGCACACCCCATTTTGTCCCCTGAGCCCCTTCGTCCTTTCAAAGTTTCGGCACTTTGTTGCCCGTATCCCTCCCTAATAGCACTACAAACATCTGGCAACACTTCCCCAACCGTCCTGTTCCAAGCCCAGTCCTTCTCATCAGTGGAACTCTTGCCCGACTTGACTTAAGGGGTGGCAGTAACATTCGCCGCCGGCCACTGATGGTTCTTGTCCCCGTTGATGCATTGCCAAAGCACAATTTTCGTATTATCCCTGACGGAACCGGTGTAGAGGTCGACGCAGAGTTCTGTCATGTGTGTCAGTCAGTCCAAGCTGCTTTTTCATCTCACAGCGGCAGTCTGCTAGTAAGGGACAGATGGAAGTAACGTACTTGTGCCAGAGGATTGGTCCAGTACCAGGTACCCCTCGGGCTGGTAAAGCCACTTTTGCGAAGCCTTGGTGTCGGCGCAGTCTTGGATGGTCAAGGGCGAGCCGTTGCTTCTTCCTGTTGATTGAGGATTGGAGTTTTTGTCAGTGGTCTTTTCTCATGAGAAATCCATCTTTTCTTTGTTTCCTTTCTGCACGTCGCCCTTCAAGGTCCTTTTGGCGTCATCACTTTGCTTGCAATCAATTCCTACTCCCATCTCGCATTACAATCTTTGCCCCGTCTATCTAATACACAACCTGCCAGACCGCGCGGTACCGGAAACACACTCACCAGTCCCAGCATCCAAGCAAAAATTGGTATCGGCCAGCTGAACCTTGGTATTCCCATCCTTGATCCACCACTGCTGCTCAGGCTTGGGGCTAGTGGCCTTGACAGTGAAGAGGATGATGCCTGAGCCGCTCTTGATGGGTGTTTGGGCTTGAACGGCGAACTTGGCGTCCTTGATTGTGTTTAGGATCACTTTCCGGTAGCCCTCGGGGATTGTTGGGGTTGGGGTTGTTTGGGAAAGGGCGGTTGCCGCGAAGGCTGCTAGGGGGAGGAGGGTTGTGGTGAGCTGCATAGTGAGTGAGTGGGTATCTTGGGTGGATTTTAGGGGATGTAACTTGGGAAGAGGGCAAATGGGAAAACGGGTGGATTTCTTAAGGGGGATTGGAAAGGAATGGGTGAGGCTTGGCTTATAAGTTCCATTTGGATGAGTCTTTCCCGGAGAGTTCCTTCTTTATCTGTTACCTAACTAACATTTGCTAGGAGTTCAGTCGGTTGATGGGATTGGTATTGCGTGTTGTACAATTTGTTTACTTGCGGCAAATCTGCCAGGGAACGAAGAGGATTGGTTCGGGAGCAATGCGGCTGATCTCAAATCTTTCACGGAACGCGGAGAACCTCTTTCCGCTCAATCAACCGCTCCCGTTCTCCCCCTGGCCTCCACAGTGGACGTATAAACCGGAAGCCAGATTTACCCCGGATTTTGTGCTCGGGAGGGGGGCCAAAAGCTTGTCTCAACTTCGACAGACTGACGCTCGGCAGTTGCAACTGCCGCCGCCAGACAAACACCATGAGCAGGGGTGCCAAGCATCACAAGGACGGTTCGTTTCGGCACTCGTCGATCACTTACTTCCCATCTGAGTCTCGCAATTTGATGTGTGGCTGATGGGAAAAAAAAAGATGGATGGGAATTAAGATAACGCATGATCAAATCGGTTATTGGGCGTTGCTCCTGGAATCTAGGCCGAGAAGATTGGAAAGAATGGAAGAACAGTCAGAAGCTGGTACATATCAGGGAGAGAGATACCATCGTTCTGAGCAGCGTGTCAGGTCAGGTCACTGCTTGGTCCTTTCCTTTGTTTTATTTTGGGGTGTGGCCGTTGCACCGATGCTTTAGTTGTCAACTGCATTTGCGTATAAGTAGGAGATAGCTAGGTCTGACGGTAAGGTACTGGACTGAAGCTGACAAAGACATGGAGTAAATGGATTGTGCCGGTATAGAACTCAGTGAGATTCCCGGGGGTATTTCACGAGGATGGACCGTTGACGGGACATTAGGTAGACAGCGATTTCACTGTGGAGAAATGACAATAAGGTATCTGGGGAAAAACCTATAACTCACTGCAAGTTAAACGTCCGTCTTTTGTACTTGTCGCCCACACCAGACACTCACAGACAGCCAAGCCAGACCGCGAGGTTGGTCAGGGACGACTTTACGTGACGTGACTTGCGAAGACAACAACGAACGAAGTCCAAACTATGCCTGCATTTAAGTACCCAAAGTACCGTAATTTATTGGTCCACTACGCAGTTGAATAACCTTGTGGAACTCCCTGTAAATAATCTGCCGTTGTCGTCAAAGTATTCGGAAGAAAAAGTTGTTTGCTTACTTGGTTGGGTCCATGTTGGGTGACGCTTATAAGAACATCTTTCGGAGCAATCTTCCAACATCCAACTACGACAGCTGATTAACAGTTGTACAATCTTCCGTAGTATAGTGGTCAGTATGTGAGCTTGTCAAGCTTGAACATCATCAGTTCGATTCGCTCGAGACCCGGGTTCAATTCCCGGCGGGAGAGACCATAAATATTTTTTTGGCGATATTTTTGTGTCTCCACCTTCCTGGGTCGTGAACGCACTCGCATAGGGTTGAAGGAGTGAGGGGCTCAATTAACCGGGTAACTTGTGAGTTTCAATTGTTCCTTTTCTACCTTGACCTTGACCATCACCGCAGGTGCTGGGGTTGATGGTTTACTGTCGGTGAATGACAGCGAAATGTAATTGGGTTGAGTTGTCGTGCATCGATGGGACACTGCGAGATCCCCAGTGGTATCCAGAAGAGAACACGCAATGTAATAATCCAAGTAACTACTTGCGTTCTTTACTATTTCTTTTTAATAATTGAAGACAATACAATTTGAGAGTTCCCCAAGATCTTGCAAGTTTGGAGAAGTATGTTTGGTCCGCATTTCTAATCTGATGTTTGATGTGCCAAGATCACTCAGGTGTCTCGGGATAGGAAATAACAGTCCTTAACGGTATCTGCGGACGCGAGTGCAATTAGACGTTAGGCAGAAATGAGATACTATCTGCCTCCCCACACTCCCGACACAAACGTCTTTGGCCATCGGTACCCCAACGGCCAACCTCCATCGACAATCCATCCCCTCTTCTCTTCTTTTCGCTCGCCTCTGCCCTCAAATCTTCACAATCCCTTTTCATTTATCACTTCTCCCCCCGCTACCGAGCACGTCCGGCGTCTTCCTCCTGTCATATTCCCAACCCATGCAACCGATTCGCTGACCACCACAACCTTTCAGCTACCGCGACATTTCCACTTCCATCGTCAACTCCAGGCTCCTCTCCCCTTCCAAAGATTCCATCCCCAAATTCCTCCATTTGTACCTTACTCACTCTCCCCCGTCTCCAGCTCAAGCATCGTCTGCCGATATACCTCCACCCAAGGCTTCGCTCCCAAGACCTACTCAACGATGCCCTCCTCCCCACGATCTTCCCAATTCCTCCCCGTCAACCATTCCCAAATCCTCGTCGCCCTCTAGTCACCTCCAACCGCCCGCTCCCTCGCCGCCTGCACCACTGTCTGCCCCCTATACGTCACACCGACATCGGCTCCTTCTTCAACCAACAGCTTCACTGTCTCAAACCAACTCCACCGGACGGCACAATGTAATGGTGTTCCGTTCTTCTTGGGGTCAAGGTAGTTGAGAAACCACTTCATCCCCGCCTCCTATTAACCCTTATCCGTCTTTTTTGTAGCGTCGATCAGAAGTCTGACTCTCTCCGCGCAGTTGCGTTCGCGGTGTTCTTTGTCCTTGCGCCACTTGCAACTGGGTTTGATAGCGTGGTGGATGGCGCTGGGCTCCAATTTCGCGCCGTGGGCTAAAAAGGGTACGAATGGCGTTGTCGCCGGGTTGGCCTTCGATGACGGAGGCTGTGATGAGGGCCGAGGGAGCGCGGCACAGGCGGCCGGGGACGGAGAGGAGGTTTGGGTCGGCGCTGTGGGCGAGAAGAAAGTTCATGATGGGTAGTTTGCCGACGGAAAGTCTGGCCCCCAGGTTAGTCATCCTTTCCCTTCTGCCGAGTATAGAAGGGGAGTCTGGTCATGCTACTAACTGAAGTGCCGTCTCATCCTCGAACTCGGTGGTATTAACACCCCACCCATTCTTGACGAACACCTCCCACATAGCTAGGTCTTCGCGGTTATTCGCTCCTAAGAAGGCTATTCAATTTACTTTGACGCATTGGGAAAGTAAGAGGTCGGCTACGGCATGATGTCTTCTCCACACAGCGTTTGATAAGCCTTTTTCTAGCGCGGCGGTTGATACCTGCCCTTGTAGAGATTCGTGGTCGAGAAGGATCTTACTGACGGTTTCGAGATCGCCGGATTCGCAGGCGGAGAGATAGTCGGGGTGGTGGAGATGATTGGTTACGGTCATGATAGCGGTTGAGGTGACGATGTTATTCGTGGGTGGTGCTATACTGACAACGAACCGTGATGGCGGTGGCCAGATCAAAATTTCTGAGCCGCGAGCGGCGGGGAGTCACTTTTGGTGAATGAACGAATGCAGCGAAGATCGGCCACTCAGCCACCCACCAACAGCAACCCTTACCGTGTATACACGTTCTATCCCACGGATCAATATGCGTGCTGTCCATGCCATCTTGTGCTTCTTGGGGACCAGAAATAAGAACGCCAAGGGCCATCACGTTGGCTTCCATGTTACGACATGAAACCAGCGGAACCGGCTTCGTTGACCTTCAACTCATTTGCCGCTGTCTGCCATAAATACACTGACAACTGGAATCAAGGATAGGTCAACCGTGTCAGTATATTGGCTAGCCCAGGTTGAACTTGTTGAGCATCATCCAGATCCTCTTCCCCTTCTTTTCCCTCCGACGCCCAGTACCTAGCTGCTGTATGTTCAGCGATTGACCCGTTCTATGGGATGCACTGCCAGGCACCCTGAAACTCGGCCCAGGCTATTTCATCAGGCTCTGTCTCATATCAATGCCAGCAACTCCCACTTTCCAAGCCTGCTCGCTGTCGAGTGGAAAGAGCCGTTTCTAAGCCCGATGATTAGGGGTAAGAATCTCCAAGAGAGTAAGCAATGCTCACAGTGCTGCCTTTGACATTCTTTCCAACCACTTGAACGACTGCCGGCTCCGCCGCCCCCCCAAAAGGCCTAACCTTAACCGTAATCTTCTCCCTCGGCCACAGGGTCAAGTAATTATCATCCCAAGTTACCGGCAACACGTCTTTGCCATCCTTGTCCACCAAGTTGAGCCTAATGAAGAACGCCGGCACGGAAGAGTGATTCTCTAAAGTAACCTGCATTGCTGATTCCGAATGCCCCTTTGGACCGTGCCCACGGGACCGAGCTGCCAAACTCACGTTCGCAGCCGCCAGTTTGTTCAAGGCCGTGTAGTCGCTGTACTTGGTGACAGGCGTATAGAACCAGTCGGAGTTGTCCCAGTCGAGAGTGTCGATAGTTTTGGAGAGCCAGTAGACGTTGCGGCTCAGGACCTGAGTGTCTTTGGAGGAGGGATCGGAAAGGACCAGACGGACAAATACGACGTCTTTGATGTTCTTCAGGGCGGAAGACAGAGAAGTGATTTCCTTGCTTGTGTTCGGCTTTGTCGTTGTCTTGACCGTGTTACTCAACAAGGTCTTGCCAGTTGTATCCACCACTTGAATCTCGACACTCCTTGCTCCTTCCTTGTCCAATGACCTGTTGATAAGAAACACGCTCTTTTTGACATAGTCATACGCCACATGTTCGATCCGACTACCCACTTTGGCGCCAAAGTAGGCGCCGGCCGGGTGCATGTAGTAGTCCCAGATGGACCAGTGCAAGCTCGGAAAGGCACCGGTCAGCATCCAGTAGATCAGGCCGGTGGCAGGCCGCTTGGAGTTCCAGTTGGCGGCGTAGGCTTCGAACTGAGCGCGGGTGGCTTCGTAGTCGGTGATCTGCGTCTTTTGGACATAGTCCTCGAGAGAAGTTGGAGCTCCCCAGCGTTTCCAGAGGCCGTCGTTGTAGATCTTGCGGTTGTGAAAGCTGGAGGTCTCAGTGGACATGTGGAACAGGTTTTTGTTGGGGTTCTTCCACAGGTCGTTCAAATCAGCCGGGGAGAGAAACTTCTTCAGACTGGACAAGTCTGGGGTTCCAACTCCCGCACCCAACTCTGATCCAAACCCAAATGCCGCTCCGAGACGACTTGCACTCGGTTCAATATCATACCAGTAGTTGGGCGGCACCCAGTCATATGGTCCTTCCATCTTCAGTCCCGGCGAGCCCATGAACGCAGGGAATCCCCTCCTCGAAGCCGACGCTAGCACCGGTGTCTGCCAGTCCTGGCTCTGGAGAGCGTTCATATACATCGGTGACGCCTTTTCGTCAGGCCAATAGTCGCTGCCAATCAGATACCCAAGGACACTCGGATGAGTTTGAAGCATGCCGGCCTCGTGGAACATACTCGCATTGGCAATCCCGTAGTCTTCCTCGTTCCATACCGGTGTTGGCACCGCCAGGTCCTGGTTGTAACTCCATGCCTCCCACTTATCACAGCACTCCCATCCAGCAAGGATCATGATGCCCCGTCGGTCGGCAATCTCATAGAGCTCGGGGTGCTCGTTCTTTCCTTCGAGGCGGATGGTGTTGAAGCCGAGGTCGAGGACGTATTGGGCCTCGGATTCGAACTTTGAGGGATTGAAACGGAGAAACATGTCGGGTGCGTAACCAGCGCCAAGAACTTGGAAGGGTTTGGCGTTGACGTAGAATGTGGTGTCGTTGTAGGAGTTGAGCTTGGAGGTGACGGTGCGGAAGCCAAATGTCGCGGAGGCAAAGTCGGAGATCGTGTTGTTGGAAACAAAGACGGAGAGCTGGGCGTAATAGAGGGGTTGGGAACCCCATTGTTTTTGGCCACCAGATGGCGGGATTCGGGATCGTGGTTGTGAGGGTCACGTCTGTGGTTGACAGGGGCGGAAGGGTGACGATTTGGGACCAAGTAATCGGCGGGCCGGGGTACCGTTCCGGGGAAATGGTGCCGGCGACAGTGATGGTTACTGCAGCCTTTTCCAGATTACGGGCCCTGGATCGCAGTGTCACGTTTGCGGGCGAGCTTTCCAGAGGCGTTCCGAGCTGGGTTACCACGCGTAGCGGCCCAAGAGCAACGGATCCCGTCTGCTTGACTTCCACATCTCTCCATACACCGGTGCCGTTGTCTGCAGGCCATGGATTCCAGTCCACCCAACCTAGCGCGAAGTCGTAATAATAGCTCGTCGGATGTGCCTGAATGAGCAAGGCATTTTTCTGGCCCACCAGATCAGTAATATCGTACGTGTGTCCTCCATAACCACCAGCCTGTGTCTTCTTGTCTGCAACTTCCTTCCCGTTCAGGTACACGTCGGCGCGAGAAGTGATTCCATGCGTGATCAGATGGAAGTATTTCCCAGCCTCAGGATCCAGTCCAAATTCGTGTCGATACAGCCAGGGCACTTCGAACTGTTTGCTGTCGACTTTTCGGAGGTTGTCAGAGTAGAATAACTCGGTGTCGTTGTAGGTGCCGGCTTCTAGCAGACAGCCCATCAGGGTACACTTGGACGCGTTGACGTGAATCCATCCCGAGGTGTCGACGCCAGGGCGAGAGAGTGTCTCCAGATCTTTTCCCGCCTTCGTGGAGGACTGCAAGTCCCATGTGGGGATGGATGCTATTTGCCCTGGTGTCAATACTAGGGAGTTGCTGGGGTCTATCGCGGCTGTTGAGGTGATGGAGAGGATGGCGCTGAACAGCACGTGAAGCCTTAACTGTGACCTCATGATGTGGATGGCGAAGAGCTCCAAGATGGGCGCCGTGGTGTTGCTAGAGGTGCCGGTGAGTAATTGCGGCCTCGCAACATTCCCGTCGCGAAAGGGACTTGTGCATCTTATACCGACTTCCTCGGGCCATTGACGATGTTATATGGCGTCGCGATGATCCTCCTCAAAAGCATTCCACGTGTAACTCTGGATGGGAATAATCCCCGCAGAACAAATCAACGTTACATGTCGTGCCGCCAGCCAAAGGAAGACTTGACTGGAACGCTGCTGTGTCGTCGGAACCCCGCCGGCCATTTGATGTTGTGCTCCGGACTTCCCTTTCTGGAGGACGGATCGCCAGTGGCACTAGACATACTGTGGCACGGGTAAAGGTAATGAATATTGAGAATGATTTTGCGACGGGGATTTGAACAGATGGTAGGTTGTGTATTTGTTTATTCGAAACTCGGGTCAGGTGTTGTAAATGAGGAACAGAAGTTGTGCGAATGGAGACAATTCCCTTCCATCCTTCGGGAAGTCCGCTGTGTTGAAATTGTTAGTGCTGACTGTAGCACTTGCAGAGCGCGCTAAAGGGTCCGGACCTACCTACCCCACTCTCGGCGGGGTACAATGTAAACAAAGAGAGAAAAAGCGACCCCCAAGAACGAACCATGATCGACAAACGGCAAACAACTTCACATGCAATTAAATGGAAACAGCGATTGGGTCTTCTTGAAAACGGTTGGAGGACGATTCAACCGCCTCACAATTTTCTTCAATCCTACCCTCGGTGGTTGTAATAAGCACGCTATACACCAAGGGCCCATGTTAGTGGAATGCTCACCATGACGTCACCATATCAAGAAATCATTAAGATGTCACGAAAAATCATGAGGACGAGACGACAGTTCGGCAGGCGTCATCCCATTTCCTGTAATGACCTCGCTTAACAGCTACGATGACAGCTCCTTCCGGCTGCACCCGCTAATTCCAACCCAACTGAGCTCTTTCGTCCTCATCACACCTGCTAGGCACTACTCTGACGATCCCGTATTTGCAACGGGTGATCGTCATCCATCCGTCTCTTCCATCCGGCCGTCTCGTAACTTAACCTTACTTCCACCTACATCAGCCTCCTCCTTCCCAGCTCTCAGGTCTGGTCGAGACCTGTTCTTTCCACAGACCCGAAGTGTGATCAGGTCGGCCAGTATTGTTACAAAACCAGCCATATTCATTTTTGGACGAAACACTTCCTCGAACAATACGCTTGACCTCGTACTGCCCACCGCCCACGCGCCAAACAACAGGCTAAGCGAGATGCCGGTCTCAGTGGTCCCCAGAGAAGTCGTCCAAGCCGTCGAAGGCAGACAAGGCGTCGACTTTGCTACCGCTGTGCCCAAGTGTCCTCCCACGGCCGAGCGTCCTCAAGCAACCGACATTGACGCCATCATCGACAGGCCTAGCGTCGCTCGCGCGAACCTGGCTGTCTCGACAGAGCAGCCCCAGGGCAGTCCCGAATATGTCGACACTCTGAACCTCGAGGACTATGTATGTCACCCAACCATCTCTGTCTTCCAATGCGCCAAGTCCACCTACTAACACTCAACTTCTCTCCACCACAGACCGTCCTCCAACAACACGTCATGTTCTGGGACCGCGACGACGACGGCCAGATCTGGCCCCAAGACACCTTCATGGGCTTCTATGAGCTGGGTTTCAACCTGTTTTTCTGCGCTTTGGCGACACTCATCATCAACCTCAATTTCTCGTACCCGACCCGCCTTGCCTACTCCTACTTCCCCGACCCCTTCTTCCGGGTATACGTACCATCCATCCACAAGGCCAAGCACGGCTCGGATTCGGGAACGTACGATAAGGAAGGCCGATTCATCCCGCAAGCATTTGAGGACCTGTTTAGCAAGTTTGACAGGGGCAACAAGGCTGCACTGTCCGCAGGAGAGCTCTGGAACATAATGTCGACCAATAGGGTTGCTGTGGACCCGTTTGGCTGGTTTGCGTCCGTCTTTGAGTTTGGCGTGACGTTCTTGTTGGTGCAGAAGGATGGAAAGGTGGATAAGGAGGACCTGAGGAGGATCTATGATGTGAGTTCTTCCCCTGATCTGGACTCTTTGGCCAGGTGCGATACTAACAAAGGTTCCTCCAGGGTTCCATATTCTGGAAGATCAGAGACGCCTATCGCTCGGACAAGGGATGGAACAAGGGCTTCGGCTTCCGCGAGTTCTTCAACCTCGGCCGGGAAGAGCTGGCCAAGAACAGGAGCAGATTCCCGTTGTTGGACGGCGTTGTGAGCCAGGTTGAGAAGACGTTTCCGCATAAGTTGCGCAAGGCCTAAACACAAAAGAAAGAAGAGACATTACCGGATAAACCTCGGGCCAAACGTTGATGAACATAGATACGAGCATTGGCTAGATCCTAGAAGCATTATGCATCATCAATACGACCAACAATATACGCATTGTGTCGCACTATGTGAGGCGGGGTTGTGCCACCGTTGCAATATCATCCCGTCCATGAAGTTTTGGCAAGAATAACCACCCTGTGGGCACGCCCTTTAAGTATAACCCGCTAAAAACCACCCCCCATAAGCCTGCCTTTTTTTATTAAAAAGATTTCGAGGTCTTTCCTATATTGGTCCTTCTTTACCTACTCTAAGGGAGTCTAAACGTGTTTTGAGGCAACTTGACACCGAGTACTAGAGACATATTTCTTGTGATAGGTACTTTTGCCCTTCTGTCTAGTAACTGAATCCGAAATTCCCTTGTAACGTGTTCTTCAAACGGAAAAGCACGATTCACAGTCATTCAGTAGAAAGATATTTGGTGGGAGGAGAGATGCGTTTCCTTCGTCTCACTAAGAGTAGTGGTGGAAGTGTGAATAGCTATTCACAACACTCTATCCATCCTACACTCCTTCAGAAAATGGGGGCGTACGTCAACTGCGTCTTTGAGCGTGCTACGGACAGAGTCAGGTACTATCCCGTCTTCGGCATTACATAACCGGCCGTGGCGGCCTGGTTGTGGTTTCACAAAGAGTGAGAGGTACAAATGAAAGGAGGGGAACCTACTATGGTAACATTCAAAATTTTATTGATCCGTCGCCCATCGCCTGACGCCCATCGCCCATTGCCAGTCCCAAACGATAACGTTAACGTTAACATCAACGTTTGACAAGCGCGAGGATTGTCATCTTTGACTTTAATGCATCTTGCATCTTGCAGCTTGTTCGAGAACCGAACATCAACCTCTATACATTTATCCATCCACGCAAAACTTCACGCTGTTAAGTTGTACTCTCACCATATTTGTTACAATTCTTTCTGCTTTTTTTATTATTAGTTCTATTTTTTTATATTTTTTTGCTTACCATGCCACCAATCAGAGTCTTCTCCTCTCCCTCCTCCTCTCCCGCGCCGGCATCCCGGTTACTCTTCTCGAAAAGTCTACTGCGTTGGATGCCAATCCCCGCGCCTCGCATTACATACATGTCTGAGTCCTGCATGGAGTTTGAGCGTGCGGGGACCCATGTGTTGGATGAGATTAAGAGGCAGGGGTTCTTTCCTAATGGTGTTAGTTGGAGGAAGTTGGATGGACCTTCACCAAAAGATGAAGATTCGGAGCTTGGAGAGGACAGTGTGAAGGGTAGGAAAGCGGAGAGAGAAACCAGAGATTGGTGAAGCTGAGGAATCCGGATCCGCCTGAGGGCAAGGATAATGAGGGTGAGTGGAGGTATAGAATGGTTTGTCTACCGCTGCATCGGTTGGGGAGAGTTTTGCTTGGGAAGTAGGAGGATGGGAGGGATGGGGAGGAGGGGAAAGACGGAGAGGAGAATGCGGGCAAGGCAATGGCAGTCGTGAAATGGGGGTGGGAGGTTATTGACGTTGGTGACGTTGGTGACGGCGATAGTGATGAGGCTCAAGTCGGAGAAGAGCCTGGGAAAAAAAAGGTAACTCCAGGCAACGGAAACGGGAACACGGGAAAAGCGTGGGTAAAAGCCAAAACCACCTCCGGCACCACCGAGATCCTAAAAGCCGACTACATCGTTGCCTGCGACGGCGCCAACAGCACCCTCCGCAAGCTCCTCTTTGGCTCTGGTTCCGATGCATTCCCCGGTTTCACATGGGACAAACAAATCGTTGCCACGAACATCTACTACCCCTTTGACAAGTACCACTACGACGATAGTCAGTTCTTTATCGACACTGAGCATTGGCACATGGTAGCCAAGATCCAGCTGGACGGGCTGTATCGAGTTACCTACGGGGAACTAGGCGGACTAAGCAACGAGGAACTCAAAGAAAGGTTGGAGCAGAAGTTCAGGAGGATCCTACCTGGTAATTCTGGACCGGAGGAGTATGAACTGGTGAACTTTAGTCCGTATAAAGTCCATCAGAGGTGCGTGGAAGAAATGAGAATGGGGAGGTGTTTGTTGGTGGCGGATGCGGCGCATTTGTGTAACCCCTTGTGAGTTTTCACTCTGCTCCCTTCTCCTTCCCGTTACTGAGCGTTGAGGTGGAAGACTAGAAGTTGATGCTGACGAATTATTGTAGTGGAGGCCTCGGCCTCACCGTCGGTATCGCGGACGTAGGCAGTCTCTACGATTGTCTCCTCAGAATTCACACCGGACAAGCAGATGATAGCATCCTGTACAAGTACGACGAGGTCCGTTGAGGGATATGGCATGATGTTATCAATCCAACGTCGTCGGACAACATGAGACGGCTGTTCTCGTATGAAGATCCCGAGGATTTGTTGGAGAAGGAGCCGTTTTTTTAGGATGCTCACGGAGATGGGCTTGATGCCGCAGAAGGTGGGCGAGCGGGAGTTTGCAAAGATGGAGGTTGGTGCGAGTGGGCCGAAGTTGCCATCGGTGAGTTCCCTTGCACTTTCCTTGAAGATTCCTTATGAAGTTGATGAGGTAGGTGCACGAAACGTGACTGCTGGCTGACATTGAGAGGTCACTGCAGGCAAGGGAGGAGTGCAACTTCGTTGCGGCCTTTCCTACCTAGCCAAAGCGAGGCGTATTTGACTGTCCATGTTCGCTCTATTTTCACGCCCCATCTTCGCTCGCCTACTAGTACTTACTCAGCAGTCTTAAGCGTTCGTCTTCATCCCCTCCCGCCTGCCTTTGCACTTCACTATCTTCAATCTGTTCCCTTCATCTCAATAACACTCGATCATCGCGCTCTACAACCAACCCCTCCCCCCGCCTTCTTCCCTCAACATGAAAGCGGGTGCAATTATCGGAATCGTAGCCGCTGCCTGCCAGTTCGCTGAACTGATAGTAAAGGGCGCAACCAAGGGCGTCGGGCTTCTGAAGAGCCTCAAAGACACGCCTGTCAAGCTCACGGGAACTCCTTGGCATTGTTCGGGCTTCAAAACGAGATATGGCTCAACTGCGGAACCACCTAGCCGATCCGTCCCTCAGGATGTTGTTGCCCCAACTCCAGCTGCAAACCTTCCAGGACGACATCAATGAAGCATGCAAAGTAACAGAGGAACTGGAGTCACAAATCGAAAACCTTTTGGGACCTGGAAGTCAGAACCTGAGAGGAATAAAACGGCTTTGGCGTGATGTCGTCTCAATGACGAGAGAGGCAGAGTTTGTCAGGAAATTCGAGACAATTCAGCGGTACAATGAGCAGATCCACCGTCGACTCTCTGGTGTGCAGCTCGCTCTCTCCACTAGGAACTTGTGAGTCAAACCAAGCTTCATCTTCAACGCGGCAAAAACTAACTGTCTTCAGGGAAACGACTGTGACCATCGGAACGAGAGTCAATGAAAACACAAGCGTGCTGGACGAGATCAAGAACAAGGTCCATGAGCTAAACAACAGAAGCACCGATGTCGATGTCGATGTGAATGTGCATGGTTCTACGATCATCGGAGCTCGGCAAACACGAACCAGCCCGGCCATAAATCGAGTTGAATTGGAGGTGCGACTGGAGCCCGCCACGGTCAGAGACGACCTACAGAGCGAACTGATACTACTGATGACTGACCAAGGTCCGTATGCCAACGCCTCCAATACGATCCTCCCTATTTCATCACGCCTTTCTCATGAAGACAGAGCGCGCATAGCTAGCATGCTGATCTCTCAGCTTCAGAATCCTGACGTCCCGCCGTGTGCCGGCAACTTTGCAGTGGCGAAACGATCCTTTGATCATTACCCTGCCTTGAACTCACCCATCCGTGGCTACAAATCTAATACTTTCAAGGCCGAGAGGGCATTCAGAGATGGCCCATTTTCTTTTGGCTATAGCTATCAGAACCAGGGTGGACATCACGCCTCTTGCCCCTGTCGCTACGAGAACCAGAAGCAACATTACGCCTCTTGTCCCCATAATGAACAGCAGTCTCCTGGTGCGGCTCGCTACAGCTTGGGGTACCGAGTCCGTCACTAACTGGTCTTCCTTACGTCTGTTAGTCCAGTACGTTTCCGGCCTTTGTCCTCCAATGTCTAGAGACAGCCGTCGTTGCTATTGTCTTGTTTTAGACGGATGTCTACCCCAGAACCTCCATTATTTTTATAAACTGTACCCCAGAAACTACGATGGACATGAGCACAGGGGCAATGCATTGGTTTCCTGGATCGAGTCCTGTTTTCTTTCCCAAGACGAAAAGTTGCTGTGCTTCGAACAGTCAGTGCGGCTGAAACTATTTGATAGGCTCGGCCTGGTTCACACATGCTGTAAAACACGGTGGAACGATCACAGCCCCCCCGGAGCCCGACGACGTCGAAGGAATTAGAGAGGATGACGAGGAACTAGCTTCACAGTTGGACCTGTTGATGCTCGCTTATCGTGGATCGCTTCTCATGTTCATACGGAGGCAACATGAAGACGAAGAATACTCGACGGAGTTCAACTGTGACTGCTATGAACTTGGAGGTCTAGGCTTCAGAAGGCCGCCTTCTTGGGGTAGTCATAATCTTGATGCCCACACGACTCGCTTGCTGGCTCATTGGCGTCACTGGTGGACTATGACGGATCCCATACTAACCGATATCTACAGTATTACTGCAAGGGATGTTGAAGCTTACAGAAAGGTTCCCGCCTATATTTATGATAATCATACATTGAGAGGTATAATTCGTGCGATGGCTAATACCATAACGCGTCTCAAGTTGCGGCAGATGGAATTCGGCGACCTGGATTACTTGGAAGTGATCCAGCAACATTTCAAGGAGGAACTAGCGTACGCAAGGGAGAACATCAATCCTGTATCTGGCAAGGCTGGGAACTATCGGGAGAAGCAATTCGACGAGGCTGCTTTTGTCCCAGTCCATAGGCCGGAAATCTTGGACAGATTGATGGAGAGGCCAAGGCGACTCGTAAGGAATGAGGATGAGTTGTGGATGTGGGAGCGCGAGATATGGAGCCTAAATGTAAAGTCCTATTAGTGAGTGAAGGGATGCGAGGTTTGGAGACGACCACACAACTAGCCATAATCTTGGGTTTTTCACACGATGGTGACCAACTCTTGATCCACCAGATCAACATAATCCTCTATCTGAACCGTGAAAAGCGGCTCGGTATACCCATACCCCATCCTCTCATACACCCCTGTCTTTCCCTTCCTCGGAGACAGCCCAAGCACCAAGAAGTCCAACGATATCGACTGCACCTTCCGCGGGTTGATCGTCATAAAGTTGCCCAGCAGGAAGAGGTACACCTCACTCCCCGACACCTTCTCACCCTCTTTCGTCCCCTCACGCGCCCGTCTCACTGCTCGCTTCTTACTTCCATCTTTATCAACAACCTCAAACTCCTCCAACAACGTATCAGGACAAACCCTAACCTCAACACTCTTCAACCCCTCAAACACGACCGAATACCTCGTCTCAACCGGCAATTCCGGCTTCTCCTCCTTCACGACTAACACCCCCTTCTTCAGTAATCCCTTCATGCTAACCCACCCATCCCTCACCCTCCCCAAAGGATTCTTCCCCACTGTCACCGCTTCAACATCCACCACCTCCGCCCTCGGCACGAACCGTCTCGCATCAGGATACAGCATCTCATTATGCATCTTAATGCTCACTCTTCTTCCCAAACTCGCCCAGCTCCAGCTCGGCGCAATGTACTCCCCATCGCTGTCCCCTTTTGGTCTTCCTCTTTACTCTTATCCAGAGGCAGGTACCAACAAAGGTTCCTAACAAAATTATCAACCCACAACCCGGCTACATACCTACTCCCCGTCAACTCCTCAAAAACCTTGGCCATACCGCTCACCGCCGGCAGTTTATCCAGATACTGCGTTAACTTTCGAGAGTTATACTCTGTGACTATCGCGTCCCAGCTCTGCCACAAATGCATGACCTGCGTTTGCTTATCCCGATAAGGGTCAGCTGGGTCTGGCTCCGTAGTGGAAGTCCAGGAGCTGATGGCGCTCAGGGAGCGTAAGGAGAGGATGGAGGGGGAAGGGTATTCTTTATGGCCGCATTCGCATTCCCAGGGCACGGAGAGACAGGACCAACTGAGTTCATGTGTGCTAAAACGGAGGAGGCGCGTGGAGAGAGCTCGTTCTTGGAGGGTCCAGCCGCGGGTATCGAGCGGGAGCGGGTTTTGGGACATGGAAGAGGGGTGGATGGGGGCGTGGATGAAGTAGGGGAGGATGCGGGCAGCTAGTTTCGTTGCCGTCTTCACGTTCATTTCGCCGCCTTCCTCTCCCTCTTCGTGGGTTAAGGGCCAGAGGGCTTGATAGACCTGGTTACCTGGTTCGCCAGCGGCGTGTTTTCGACCTTGCAAGAATCCCTCATCGGAAGAAGCTGCCGTGCCCGCTGCTATCGTCAGGTAAGCATTACGATAGACGGTCGCCATCTGCGCTGACTCGACTTCCCAGTCTGATAGATCGTCTTGGATGATGCAGAGCGCGTCAATCCATAGGTAGCGCTGGTTAAGACGGCGGGTGACGGCTATCGCATCTTGCAGGGTTTGAGGGAGAGAAGAGATGAGGAAGCCTTGTTCTTTGTGGGCTCGGTAGTTGGATGATACGGTAGTGACGGTCTTGCTTGTGCCCCAGCAGTAGCTTAGGGCTATGTACGGCACTTCGCTCTTAGTGGCTGGTGGGAGAAAGGCAGTCTCCACGAGGCGGATGGACTCCGATGAGAAGTTGACGTCGATTAAGCGAGTAGGTGGCTTCGGACCGACAATCTTGCATGTGGGATGGTTGTCGTCACATTCCTGAAGCTGGGCTTTGACAAACGCAAATGCTTCGTCTGAGTCTGGCGAAGGAGAGAGTTGCAGCCCTTGAGAGATCCCTGGCCATGCGGGCGGGTGACCGAGAGGGGTGTAGATCTGGATGTACTTTGTTTCTTTATCGGCGGTGGTCCACATAATTGTGAAGTCTGTTGAAGAAGGTTGGAGGGAGATGAAGATGGAATTGGGGTTTTCGCCATTGGAGTTGGAGGTGGAGGTGGAGGTAGAAGGGCTAAAGAGTTTGAGATGGGTAGAGGCGTCAAGGATGAAGGTGCATTGAGGACAGCCATCCTTGAATGAGGATTGGAGGGCTTCAAGGGATGTGGACTGGGTTTGAGATGGATGTTAGTCGGTGAGGGACCCGGGCAGTTGAGTAACGGCCTGATGAACGCGGAAGGGACACTCACGCGGTAGGGCATCTCCTCGTCCGGTTGGAGGTTGTTGCAGACTGTGCAGCCCATGATGGGATGTGCTGTGATTAAGGAACGGAAGTAGATAAGGCGGATAAGGGACCAGGACTCCAGTTATGATCGTTGGGTTGGATATATCTTCGATGGAATCCGAGTGAGAATCTAAACGGTCATTCCACAATAAGCACGACGTCTTTTCAAGCTGTGACAGAGCTAACCGTGATTAGTCTAGTGCCATCGTCGACTGAATTATCCAATCGGTGTTAAGCCGACTCGAGGCCGGCGTCCCGGTTTAGATATCATACGATGCGAGATCAGTTTTGAGGCAATAGACGAGTTCGAATTTGCCAAAACTGGATACCCAATATGACACAAAAAATAATCGGTAATGACTGCGTTCAAGGAAGAATCCAACATCCCGATCTCGGTTGAAACACCGGAGACAATCCGACGCCGAAGAAGTCCAGCTTCCTTTCATCGCTCGCCCAGTGCTTGTCCACGTGTGCCCAGTGCTTGTCAATCAGGCTTAATGAAATTTCTCCAGCAAAACAATCCTCGCAGAATTACCGCAGGAAAAAAGGTTATAAGAACTTCGTCGTAGTGAGTATAATGTGCTCTGTGCACAGGCAAAGCATGCTTTGGCAGTGCACTCAAAAAAGAAAAAGAGCTACCAAGATTACCATATGGTTGATGATGGATGTCAGATGAATAGTCCTTGATACACCTCTAGGATATTTAGTATGAGAATGTCCAAGTAAGCGCCAAAGGAGATGGACGCAGACAAGATTCACGAGAAGAAAACAAGGTGCAAAAAGACACAGGTGATGTAATGAACTTGAGTGGATTGAAATATAGTGGAGTCGGGACTCGGGTACATAAACACATTGGAAGCTAAAATTTTCATCAGCGAAAAAAAAAAGCTGCATGGCGCAGCGGAAGCGCGCCGGGCTCATAACCCGGAGGTCACTCGATCGAAACGAGTTGCAGCTAAATTTATTTTGTCTTTTTTCTTTCTCCTCTTGTCTTTTTTCGGTTTATTTTCGGTTTGACAGTCACAATATTATCTTTGATTTCTTGCGAAAGTGGGAAGATGGGAGATTCTTTTTTGGTCTACATGTACTTGTCCAGCTGTTGTTGATACCTCTACCGAGTGGGACTTTGAAGGAAGCTTCCATAGATTTTCATGGCAAACCTCTTCTTTCGTGAAGGAACTTTTTCCACGTATGGATCGAACGCTGGAGGTGCAAGCCCGTCTGCCCTCGTTGTCTATCGCCGTGTTTCCTCACATGGAATTCCACGTCGTAGTTGAAGATGATTGCGGCTATGGGTTGGATGGCAGTGTGGTGCACCTTGCCCGATGATACATGTAGTTTCCAGGACGACGAATCGTTCGTTTGCTCTGACAGTCACTGAAATAACCTGATAATTCATTGCTATGGTAAGGTACCCAGTATTTTACCGCTCACGTCAGATATACCTGGTACCAATACATAACATGGGGAGACCATTGATTTAGAACGGGTGTGTACATGACTGCAAATGAAGGTGTAATGGGACCGCAGATGCCATAATGTGAGGGGGGAAGTGGAGGTGTGAATGGAGGCACATCTGAAAACACGAAGGGAGGCTTCACGTTGTACCTACACGTCCACGAACGAAAAATGGTCCGGAAATGAGGAAGGTCTGACAGTTTGTTCCGGGCAAAAGTCTCGAAGATATCTTGGTCCAAATACCATCCACGGTTTGAAAGAAGAATCGAAGTATGTACAAACAATCATGGTATCATGCAGACCGTCCACCGTCTACGGGCATTCTACACCAAAATATCGTAAACCACCGAATCATAAGAGACGCCTGGGCGCCTTTTCATGCAATCATCATCCAGCATATCCCTCCTTCCCACCCTTTCGACTCCTTCAAAGGTTGAACAACGCAAAGCCGATGAAAGCCATCAAAGCGGCAGTCACGCCAACGCTCCTTCCGGGCCTAGCAGCGTTCTCGTCACCGTCTTCATCACCATCGTCCTTTCCATCCTTGGACCCAGCTCCGGAGTCATCGCTACCAGTATCAGGATGCGTGCTGTTAGCAATATAAACCGTCGCAGCGTTGAAGTTGATCTGTTTCCCGTTTCGTAAGCATGACCATCACTATTAAAAAAAAGAGAACTAATGAACAGACAGAACTTACGACTCCCGACTCAGGACACTCATCCCTAACCTCCCTCCCCTCTCTAATTTCTCCATTCATTTCGATCCTCACCTTACCCCCCTTCCTATTTCCCCTTCCCAATCCCAACTCCTCAAACCCGACCTGGAAGAACCTCGCTCCTCCCTTTTTCACTTGTTTCACCACCTTTTTCCCCGTTATCTCGACAGAAATCACAACTTCAGTATCCTTGCGGACAATGGCCAAAAAGTTCACCACATCTTTTTCGACGGCGTCCTTAGCCGACTTCTCTCCTTGTTGTCCCCATTTGGTTCCGCCATCACTGCACTTCCTTTCTCCTTCGGAGGTGATGTTGATAGGTGTAGTACGGTACCACGCACTAACCACCCCATCACCCAATTTCTCCTTCGGCCATTCAGCATCCGTAAGGCCCTCCTCGGCCGTCTTACCTAGCTTGTAAGCAGCCACGTACCACGGCAGAACAGCACGAAAACCACCGTGGTCAAAACCGTTGACATACGACTCAGCTTCGGAGAGGATCTGCGAGGGGACAAGATCGGAGATGTAGTGCGATTCGGCAAAGTCGTTCCAGGTGATGATTTGCAAAAGATCGGGAGAGCGAGGGGAGTCGCTAAGGGAATTTTCGGAGAGGGAGAGGGCTTGCGAAAGGCGCGTGGGCCAGAGGGTGTCGGAGGAGGAATACCAGTTTTTGTTGTAAGACGCAAGGCGGGTGTAGAAATAGGGGCTGATGCCCATCATGTAGATCTTGTCTGTTTGGACAGATTTGCCGTTGGGGGGAGGAGGATGACGATGAGAGAGCAGACAAGTAGCCGTCGTCGGAAAAGGTGGTGAGTTGTGATTGAGAGGGGCCGGGCCAGGCGTCGAAGGAGACTGGTGGTTGTTGTTCGTTGTTAGTATCCTGCCATTCATCAGGTCGGGCAGGGAGAGAAGGAAAGCAAAGAGAAAAGGGAAACATACAAGCCCCATCAACATCCCCCACCCGTTCCCTCAACCCTTCGGGTCCAACACTACTCCAATCCGGCACAAACACAATACCGCCCTCCACCTTCTTCCTCACCTCCATCCATCTCTCCCGAAAGTCCACCCCCTCGAAAGTTGATACAAACGGTTTCCCATCGATCTTAAACTGCGCCGGCTCGTCCTTGAATGTGTTGGTCAGGTTGGCGATGTAATCGACGTCCCAGCTTCTTGCGAATCCGCCCCCGGCAAAGTCGAACGATAGAAAGAGACTGAAGTTGTCGAATGCCGAGGCGGCTTCGTAGGCGGTGTGTAGTGATGAGAGGGTGAAGTGGTCGGAGGCGCCGATGTTGAGGGCGAAGCCGTCGATCGAGGCTTTGGAAGCTGAGCGGATGTCACGCTTCCATTGGTCGGTGGTTTGGTTGAGGGTTAGGCCGACCTGTGGTGGGATAATGCGTCAGTTATAAATTGTGATCGAAAGGGGGTTGAGAGGAACAAAGGCGTGAGATGAGATGACAGGAAGGATGGAAGTGAAGACTTACAATATAATGAGCAAAGACCGACTTGGGGACGATCATGATGGGCAACTGAGTGCGTGAGGCGAGGTACAATGGGAAAGAAACTTCCAGTCGACGACGTCTTGAATACCTCTCTCTAGGTACTTGTTGTATATAGAGGTTAAGCTTGGTCCCGGTGAGGTAAGTTGCCCTAACCCAGCTCAGTTCCTTTCTGGTACCTCGAATCCAGCCTCGACATTAGATTTCACACAGTTAACAGACCAAAACTTCCAAGTGACCATCGCCACATCAAGCAGGGACGTAGGGGGAGAACTTACCTCATATACCACCACCCACCCGAACTCGCAAGACAAAGAGTCTTCAACGCCAACAGATAACACCATACCACTTGCCTAAACTAACCTCCGTCACTAGTGTAGCTCTCCGTCCATGCACATTATTCATGACCCCTATCCTCTCTTCCTAGTTCCTGCCCATCGGATCAAACCACCATCATCCACCGGTGATTGTATCCGTCCATATTTCCGGCGAGGTTCTCAAGCAGTTCCCGGCTAGCCATTGTCGCCATGCGGCCATGCCTTTCCATAGGGGTGGTATTCTGCAGTGTCTGCACAGATAACATGTAAAATGGCGTGCTGTAGGTGACCATTGCCCCTTTCTTGGCGTCCATTCTATTCGTCCTTCCACTAGCCCTTTTGGTCTCGCCGTTATTGTGTTACTAGCTCTAAAGGTACTGTATCAAAAAGCGAATAGGAGCCAGAGTCAGAGCCAGAGCCTTTCTCCATACCCATCCAGATTCCAGCCCATCCAATCTGCCGGGCACAGGTACCTTAGGCACGGCGTAACGCTTTCGACTTTTTCTTCCCTAGTTCCTAGTGGTAGTCTCTTTCTCGAGGCTTGGCTTGGTGTTTTGATCGACTTTTCTAACACCGCCTCCTCACGACTCGCTAGAAGAGTTAGCGCTTACATGTGATGCAGCCTAGCCGCTTGACTGTTTCTGTCGTTGACATCCGTTCGACTTCGGCCTTTAAAAGCCCCCCGATCTCGCTCGGGTCCCCACGGTTCTCTGAGAGTGACTGGAACTCGGGTGCAGGCCGGATTGTCTCCCACTTTCCTTGTCAAGCGAAGTGGGCGCAAGGTTCTCCAGAGCCGCTTGTTCCTTGCAGGTTCGTCGTCAGTGGCTTGTCCATTGCTTGGGTGTACATTCGTGGATGATTGAACTGGATCATCATCGTCCTGCACAATGTTCAATCCCATCCATCTAGTCCTTCTTCGATCAGAGTTATCAGTGGGAGGATTGACCCGGATCTGCTACCACCGTGCGGTCCAGATAACGGCTTGATGCATGGCATCTTGTTTTCTTTCCTTCTCTGCTCCTTCTCCTCCCATCTTCTTCCACTTCTCTTCCTCATCCCCTTCTTCCATTCTTCCCTTCTTCCCTTCTCCCTTCCCCCCTCTTTTCCCACTCCCTCTTTCTCCTGAATAAGAACCACGTTCGCCACGATAACCACCCGCCAGAGCATGCCACTTCCAAAGTCTCATTTCAAGGTTCTTTTTGATGGAACTCTTCCAGTATCTTTCCAGGGTTTCCAGCCCTGTGAGTAGCTGACAGACTGCCGCCAAGTACCTGCCAAGATATAAAACGCCCAACCTGTAGGGCCAACAGCATTAAGCTAGCAGTTGACCGAGACCGAGACTAAACCAAAGGTGGTTTAGTCTCATTCGGCGTGCCTGGTTCGTCGATCAAGTGGTCTTTTTGCCCTTGTTTCCTGTAAGATCAACGTACCAAGCTAGCAAATTATATCCCAAAAGAGGTGTACTTGCAGGGCGTCTCGGGGTTTTGCTCTTGCTTCGCAAAATGACTGCGAGACCACGGGTCTTGTCGATTTCTTCATTCGTCCCTTCAGGCGGGAAACAAGCCCGGGGAAAAAGGATTTGCCTCGAGCCTCAGTGCATGCAATGTTCAAGAGAGAAACAATGTGTTGATGTTCTGCATACCGGATCCGGGCTAGCGTCGAGATTAAGTACGATCCACTTTCCAGACAACCCGTCAAAGTGCCCCTGGGCCCTGGCCCCCTGAAGCAAATATTTCTGATAGACATGGGATGGTAAGTCTGGGGGGCAGACGCGAAGATGAAAGGTCCAGAACGCCGCCCACACTTGTCGCAGCTTTGTTTTTCTGGCGTCTTTCAGTTGTACGTACATAGGTGACTCGGACGTTCGGCAAGTTCCCAACGGTTCTGAGCCACAACCGACAGGCAAAATATGGCCTTGGCGATCAAGATTGGAGGCAGTTAGGCTGAGTTGCTTGGGCAAAGGGGGAGCAAACCATGTAATTTGGACTGACGAGACTAGACAGGTTGCGTATTCGGCACCGAGGAAGTCATCAACTGCTTTGAGTACTGCTTGGGTCATTGGAAGAAAGAGCAGTTCCAGAGGTGATATTGCTAAGAACAAAGTGGTATCGTCAATCAATAGAATCTTCCCTCCATCCCATTCCCTTCTCATTTCATCATAGTTGCTGGTCAACCTCATCCCACCTCCTGGCGGCTGTAATCAAGGCTAGACTGTCGACTCCGAGACCTTGGCCTCTTTGACGTTGTCCCTGGTGGGAAGCAGGCTTGAGTTTGCCTCTTCTTCGACGCCGGCTCCGAGCTTTTTGAGCTCGCCGCTCCTCGCACGACGTAGCCCGATCGTCTTGAGTAGATCTTGGTCCTCATCCGGCAACTGGTATGCAATGCGTGCAATGGCCAGCGAGTCGAGAGTACTCGTCCAGGTCGGGGTGCTGTAAATGTACCCCAAAAGAAACAGTAGTCCCAGAACTTGAAACCCTAACAACACGCTGACAACGACCACGCCTGCGGTGGAAACACTCGGTTTGTTGTATTCGAGACCTGGGACGTTCCAAATACACGTGGGATAGAGCACGAGGTATTCGGGGCCCTCGAGGCGGTTCGAACTTGCTATATCTAGCCAGCCCTGGTTGGCGTAGTGCATTGCCATTGAAAGCCACGTGCTTGCATTTTCTCCACCAAAGCTGAGTGATGGGCTGTAAAAGGTATATGAGGACCGGCCTAGACAAAGGGTCTCAACGAAATCAAGGAGGTATTCATCTTGCCATGCGGGTTCCATATACCACTCAAGTCCGCCCGTAGGTTTGTCTGTTTCTGGGTCCCGTGTCCACTTGAAATCTGAGCAAACATTTGGATGAATGTCGCCATCTTGATAAATGCTGTCAATTTGGATCAACTTGTCTCGATATTTCTCAAAGTGGAATGGCAAAGTCCGACACAGAGTGCGTGAAGCTACATCGTCTGCCGTCCTGATTGATTCAGCTGCCTTGGGAAAGGAGCCGGGTCCAAAGAGTGCAAGTAGTGACAGGCCTAGAGGACCAGGCATAAAGTCACTTGTCTTAGGTATTGCGTAAGATCTAAGAGGAAAGCTAAGGCGGTGGAAGTATGTATTAGCAGGTGACCAGAGTATGGTAAGACCAAGAGACTGGGGACGAAATAAGGGGAAACAAAACACGAAAGACGACAGGAAGAGTGTGGTTGAGCACCAAGTATAACTTACCTATTCTCAGTATCCGCGTGGAATCCAGCTTGAACTGCGGTGTCTAAAGTTCGGTATGGCGCAGATACCAAGGGGCCATATATTCCATTGTTGAACTGGTTGCCCAGTTCGAAGTAGCCAAGACTGCTGTTACCGGTGCAACGATAAATCTCCTCAGAGCGAAACAAGGAGTTGCTGATTCTTGATTTATTTGCACTGAGCCGTACGTAGAACTCCTCGGTGATGTCCTCCCGTAGATACTGCTCCAGTTTCCATGGGCTTTTCTGGAACAGGCCTCCGACGCAAAACTCGATTGTAAGATTGTCGCTCTTGTAGTTAAGGCCACCGTCGTCGCATTGGCTGGGAAACTCGGATGGTTCGCAGTGGCAAGTGCTGTTGATCCGCGTTGCAAGCTGTCGCCAAATGCCGGTGACGCTGTTTTTAGGGACTGAACTGGCAAATACCCTTTTCTCCCAACTTCCCTCCTCCGGGCCATCTCGCCATGCATTGAATAAAACCTCGTCAGACGCAAGCGACTTCAACGTACCCCTGGTTCTGGCTACCACCATGTCTTTTGGCGTCGCGGCAAGAATAGCAGGAGCTGGGTCAGTTCCCACCAACTGTCCTACAGCGTGATCGGGGGTACTTAGATATTCATAGCCGGCTACGCTGTTGTGCCAGTCCCAACCTCTCGTTTCGGATATGGCTCCCTGAGGTACGTAAATGGTCTCTTGCCGCACAAAGATCGCTCTGATTGGAAGTTGTATGATGGCTTTATCGAGCAGAACAACGCGTCAGTAATCAAGAGGCTAAAGCCCAAGGTTTCTGGATAACATATACTCACAAAGAACAACGAGTCCCGTACCTAGTAAGTAGTGCCAAGTTCCTTTGCGAGAGGGACTGCGCAAGTGACGTATAAACCCCCCATCAGCTAGGCTAAACAGCTGCTTTGCGGACAAAGGTTTGCTGAGGCTTGTCCGTTGAGAGTATACGGCCGCTGCCCTGGAGAGTAAGTCGTATATGACAGGCATAGCGGCGACGGCGGCGATATAGCTGAGGACGTCTATCGTGTGCACAATGTTGGTGTTGAACTCGATATCTCTAGGCTGGGCACGCAAGGTGAGGTTGTGGTAGCCATAGTTTGTTTTCGGTCGTTTGAGATGGAATTTCCCTTTGTTCAACAAACATGTGAACACCCAAGGAACGATGAGAAGGGCGATGTAGAAAAACGTAAACAGAAAGGGCCATGGTGAATTGCGTCGAAAGGCTGGCTTCTCGGCCACCTTGGTCTGCGGTGGCTGCTGAGTGGGACGAACCATTCTTGTGATGGAAAGGACGGAATGCCTTCAATCTCACGGTTCTGTTTTGGGGGTTGAGGACATAGTCCGGTTTTATCCCCACAGGGCATCAGGTCCTTTTCCCGCCCAGACTTCGGTTCCCCCCTTTGGAACGTGCCATCACAGAACTGCTACCACTTCAAATATGCCTAATATGCCAAGCTGATAGTGTGACATGCTTCTTGGGCGCGGGCTTGTCAACATCTGACTCAGTGGTCAGGGTCCGACTCGAAAGCGGGCGCCAAGTCCGCCAGAATGGTCTGGGTGTGGTCGCCGTACCTACTGGGCATCATGATCCTCAGAACATCCATATCGTCGTTGCCAGCCTCCAGTATCACTTTTTGGGGAGTTTCAACTATTTCTTTTGACCCAGACGAATGTTCTTCCACTGTCTTCCTACCATCTATCCTACACCGAACTTTGAACAGCTGCTGATTGAAGCGCCGGGACCCGGCAGTCCGGCACACCTAGAAAGTTGGAATATAGAGTGGTGCTCCATGTGATGAAAGCTTTGTCTTTGTTGACTTTTCACGGGAAAGGGGAAGATTTGCATTTTCCTAGCTTCCTGCTCGTGTCAATCGCGGTTACGGGTTGAAGTGTGTCCGGGCCGGCATATCTCATGATACCTATCCAACGATGGGAGTCGGTGGTGGATGGGCTGCTCAGAGAAGTGGCCGATTGACTAACGGCGAGGAGAAAACCGGGAAACTCATTGGGATTGAACTCGGGGATGGTGAAGCGGCTTCGAGGTGGTGTGGCAATCTTGTCGGCGAGAAGAAGATATCCCGAGGTGAATTTTCCATCATCGTTGCGACAGAAATTATGGGAATCATTATCTGTTGGGAGAAAGACTCGGCAGGTCGAAGAGAGGATGATTTCGAACGATCATTTAGAAGAAGGAAAAATTGGAAATCAGCGACTTTGGCTTTGGCCAGGCAGTCCCGTGTCAGTTCGGGTACAGACGGGACGATCCGTGCCTGCTATCCCTGTAATTTGCCTTCGTTTCCATGGTTCCTGTCGTTTGTGACTAGGGACCCGGACTCCCATATTCCAGCCGGTGCAGATGATGATACGGGGGTCATAGTTGTATGAGTCGGGTTTCGTGAGGAAGCTGCTACAGGACGATTTCTATGACTTCTGAGGCAACGATAACCATTGAAGGCAATATCATTCAAGACTTCCCGTCTTGTCGGTGACTTCTGTTGCGGTGAACGGAAGCGCAAAGGGGACCGATGGGCAGACACGCCCAGTGAGGTGAGCTCACCTGGTGGGGCTACTGACGAACGCCCGTGGGCATGCTGGCATTGTAGGGGAGATCTCTGTTAGTGAGATAACAGCACGTTTTCAATTGAGATACTGCGCTATCGGATTACTACTATAAAACAGTACAAAGGTCATAGCAGGTTGACAGGCAAGAAACCGCCCCTTCATTCCCCAAACACTAACACGGCGTGTTTACGCTTTCCGAACTCCCCCCGTTGCAGTTCCCCAAGCGAACGTCATGACATCATTGAAGATCAGGGCCGAAGAACCGACAAAGCATCATCCACGGAATGACAAAGCAGCTGGAGCTCTCATTCACATGCTGTGCACATCGAATGGGAATCAGAGATCGGTAAGAAGAGCATGTAAGGGATCATGTAGGCACTGCGCAGCATTTATAAAGCAAGATCAACCGGTTCCTATCATCCCACTTCTACTTGCATATCATCAACCCTCCTCCTCCTCTTCTTCCCAACCTCAAGACCACCACCACAAAAGAACACCAACACAAAATCATTCACAACCACCGCATTCTCCAAACCCCAATCAAAACCAAAAGTTCACAAATCCCAAACAGAAACAATGTCCACCACACAAGGCAACGCCATCCCCTCGGCCTCCAAGCTCTCGGACCTCTTCAGCCTCAAAGGCAAAGTGGTCGTGATCACGGGCGCCTCCGGTCCTCGCGGTATGGGCATCGAAGCGGCGCGCGGGTGTGCCGAGATGGGCGCCAATGTAGCCATCACTTATGCTTCTCGCGCGGAAGGGGCGCAGAAGAACGTGGCCGAGCTCGAAAAGGAGTACGGCGTCAAGGCCAAGGCTTACAAGCTTAATGTGTCTGACTATAACGATTGCGAGAAGTTGGTCAAGGACGTCATTAAGGATTTTGGACAGATTGATGCTTTTATTGCCAAGTAAGTTTCTCCGTCTTTTGGTTTTGTATCTTTTTCTCACGTTGAATGGTTCGCTGGGGGGTATTCAAAAGGGAATGAGTTGCTAATTGCAACACAAAAACAAACAGCGCCGGCGCCACAGCCAACAGCGGCGTCATCGACGGATCCAAGGAAGAATGGGACCGCGTCATCGCCACAGATCTCAACGGCACCGCCTACTGCGCCAAGGCGGTCGGCCCGCACTTCAAGGAGCGCGGCCGGGGCTCCTTCGTGATCACCTCGTCCATGTCGGGCCACATCGCCAACTACCCGCAGGAGCAGACGTCGTACAACGTGGCCAAGGCCGGCTGCATCCACATGGCGCGGTCGCTGGCGAACGAGTGGCGCGGCTTTGCCCGCGTCAACAGCATCTCGCCCGGCTACATCGATACCGGTCTGTCGGATTTCGTTGATCAGAAGACGCAGGATCTCTGTGGAAGAGCATGATCCCCTGGGCAGGAACGGCGATGCGAAGGAGTTAAAGGGCGCGTATGTTTACTTGGTTAGCGATGCAAGCAGCTATACCACGGGCGCGGATATTGTTATTGATGGTGGCTATACTTGCCGCTAAAGGAGCGGTGGAGAGAAGAACGTCTGCCGGAAACAGCCCGGAGATCCCGGACCAAGTCCGGGACATACGTCATACGGCACTGAAGCACAGGCCACAACGGAGCCGGATATGTGGGGCCTTTTCGGATCCGGAATGCCGATGCGCCTCGCTTCTGTTACACTGAGGCCTGTTAATGTTTATTATAAAAGCCTGTACGAAGCAATGAATTATGTCAACTCAAACAATAAAAGATATTAACATAGGTTCCGGACCCTTGAGACGTCTGTCAACCACTGCTGTTCCCCGCTCCGGAAATAACGGGAGACATGGGAAGTGAATCCCGGAGTCCGGATCGACGCCGGCATTTTTACCCCGCATTCTGGGCCTAAGTTGACCGATATTTAGGCACGGGCCGACAGTTTGAACACCTCTTCATGGATATAAATGGTAGCGTGGTACAAGTTGCTTACAAGAAACAGGGCGCGAAAAGGGATGAAACCAGCCATTTCTTGTGAAAAAGTTAAAGTTCTTGCCACTTGCCAAATAACCAGGCTACCCTTTTACATCCATGCAGAGGTAAACACCTATAACTGACTCGCAGATACTTTTCCACTCTTCCGTCCTCTCGGTCTGAGTTCTCAACTTCAGCATGGCTTCCACTTTCTACTCGCAGCATGGGGAATCCCCGGGTTCAACCCGTAACAACGGAATGATCTCCTCCATCTCGACTAGCACATGGCTCGGTCTAGGAGTCATCGTCTATTTATCCACGCAGCAACCAACTACTTCTTCCAAGGGCTCAACAAATATCCAGGCCCCTTCTTGGCTTCCCTGACCAACTGGTGGCGCTTCTTCCTGGTCTCTGGCCAAAGATGTGAAGCAACGCACATCAAGCTTCATAATCAGCACGGCAACATTGTTCGTCTTGGGCCAAACTGCCTCTCCTTTGCTGACCCGCAAGCGGCCAAGACGATTTACAGCTTGAAGAACAATCTCAACAAGGTACCCTGTCCCTTCTCACCAGTCTCTGTCTATGAGAGCTGTAGCTGATGTGAGAACAGATCACATTCTACCCCGTCCAAATACAACTCCACCGCGGCCTTCCTCTCCCATCCCTCTTCGGCACCTTGGACACCACTTACCACTCCACTTCGGCGGCTGGCCACACCAGCTTTTGCCATGAGTAACCTTGTGACGCACTACGAACCGAGGGTGGATAATGCCATTAAGGCCTTTCTTTCCCAGACAGCAAAGCTGTACACCTGTCAGCCTGGGTCTACCGCGGAAAAACATGCAACTTCGTCCGCTGGTTGCAGTTCTTTGCTTTCGACGTCATCGCTGAAATCACTTACTCCAAACGACTGGGATTTATTGACCGTGAAGAGGACGTGGACGGGATCATTGAAAGTTTGGACAATGCGTTTGACTATAGTGCTGTGGTGAGCCAGATGCCGTGGCTGGACAGGTGGGTAGGGAAGCAGAATCCTGTTAAGAGGATGTTGAGTCGTTGGGGATTCTGGCAGAGCATGAGCGCTACGACGAGGTTTGCGAGGGAGAGGATGGTTGAGAGGTTGGAGGAGGTTGAGAGGAAGCGGAGCATGGGAGAGAAGACAAAGAACGAGGATGTGAGTGGTAGAGAGGAAGGAGATGACCCGGTGGGCATGTTCCTCCAGGTTCAAAGGGATAATCAGCAGCAGGGCTCGGGGTTCATGACGGATCATGTGGTACTCACCATGGCGACGACGATGGTGCTGGCGGGAAGCGATACCACTGCTGCATCGCTGGCTACGGTTTTTTACTACTTGTTGAGGAACAAGGAGTGTTATCGGCGGTTGGTTGAGGAGATTGATGATGCCGTGGGCAAGGGTGCTATCTCTCTCAAAGGAAACGACGGGGTGGTTTCTTGGACGGACGCACAAAACCTACCGTACCTCGACGCTTGCATCAAGGAGGCTTTCCGGTTACATCCTGCCGTGGGAATGCACCTCGAACGGGTGACACCACCTGGAGGGATGGAGATTTGTGGGGAGTTTGTACCGGGTGGGACGATTGTCGGGTGCAATTCGTGGGTAATCCATCGCTCAAGGGAAGTATTCGGTGAAAATGTGGAGGAGTATCGACCGGAGAGATGGTTCGTTGACGACAATATGGATCAAGAGAAGGAAAAGCAGAGGGTGAGCGAGATGAGCGCTACGTTGTTGCACTTTGGTGCTGGGACGAGGGCGTGTATTGGGCGGAATATTGCCTTGTTGGAGATGTACAAGTTCGTTCCGAGTTTTCTGATGAGATTTGATGTAAGCTTTTCGTTTTCCTTCAGAACTTTTGTGCGTTGAGCTAACAAATTCACTCGCAGATCCATCCGACGACTAAGAAGGAGTGGCCCTTGAAGAACATGTGGTTCATCAAGCCGGCCAAGTTTGATGTCAAAATCACGGCAAGAGGCACCCAGGGTAATGAAGACAAGAGCCTTTGATGGCTGATCAATGCCCGATCTCGGCGTGCTAGATTGGAAGAAAAAGAAATAAATTCGGCAGTCGCATTCAAGGATAGTGTCACGGTGAGGTGGATTTGACATGTCGTCAACCGGGCAGGTTGTTCCTGCCTTCCACACTCGAACGCACAGTTCAATCGATCGAGTTTGTCCCTCTTTCTTTGTCATGGCGTCTTCCTCATTGAAAGTGAAAGCAGCAGACACTGCATCCATCGAATACCTTGAGGTTGTTTCCCTTTTCACATGTCACACGGACATTGCCCACACTCCTGGGCTTGAAGTTCAATAGAGCCCCAATGCTTGTCACACGGACATTCGCCGGTGACATTCATCAGTCAAACTGCCGACCGGAATTACCAACAGAATGCCACACGGACATTCGCCGGCGATTTTCATCAATTAAACCACCGACCGGAATTACCGACGGGCAAATGGACGACGGCTGGCATTCAGAAGATCTACTTGTAGGCAGATGAACTAGATAGACTCGCGCCGATGCCTGGCACACAGGGCTCGGTACGTACCAACCTTCTTTGGTATAAGAAGCCCTTAAGGCCCGACCTTCTCATGGAGGTTGAAAGGATCAACAAGGCCTTCGAGACCAAAGTAGTTTATTAGGTGAATTGAACTACTGTTCCAAGCCCAGAAAAATGCCCTTGTCACATCACACCACCGGATTACGCTCGCAGGAAGACACCAGAGCGGCCTTCGATTTCCAATATTCCCAGCTAAGTGATCCGATTCCAGGCGTCCTTGATACATCCCCCGCACTTTTGCGATAGTACTCAACCTTACACTGACCGTGGGCAAGGCAAACATAGGTGGACAGCTTCACGAGGCAACGGACACCCGCATCGTCCGGGGTTATTTCGACGTACCGATTCCTCCACAATCTCGAGAACCCGTCTTCTTGATAGTCCACATTATCCCCTCAGTAATCGGTTATTGCGTAGAACTTAGGACGGGGTTAGGTTACAACTTGGTCGCAGCCATGCGGAACGAGACATTTGTGAGGGAACTCATCCTCTTGAGGACTTCCTCGTAACTGACCCTTTTGTCCTGCGTTTGGAACAGTACGTCTTACCCCCAACCGCACGCTTCCTCTACAGGATCATACTGGCTCATATATTGGCGAGGGTCTGGATGTATCGTTCTTGGTGTGCCTTGTGCTGCGCCGTCGTGGACTTGCAGCTCTTGATAACCTCAATGTAACACTCCCGACCCGAAGTTGGAGCTGCTGCAGCACCAATCATCTTTCGGGTCCTCGAAGTGGTGCGCGAACAACATGGGCAACTCGCCTTGTTAACAACGACTCGATGCCTCCTAGATGCCCTCAATTTACCTCTATCTTCCTCCTGTCCGTTTTACCGCTTATGGACATCCATCTACACTGAACCAACTGAGACACTCAACCTTGTCATTCCGAAGAATTTCTGTAAAACTTGTTTGAACCATCCTTCCAAATGGACCCAGCCTCAGCTCTCGGAACCGCAACAACAGCATTCCAGTTCGCACAATTGCCAGTCAAAGCTACACATCAAAGGAGTCGGACTTCTCAAAATCCTCAAGGAGACACTGTCAAAATTGAGAGAACTCTTGGGCGTCATTGAAACTTTAAATCAGCATATAGCACACCTACAACAATCCTTAACCGACCCTGCCTCCAGTTTGGCCACTACATTATCGCATGATCAGCTCTCTTTCTCGCAGACCAACATCGACGAGGCAGCCAGACTTACCAAGGACTCTATAGGACGCCAATAGGATAGATATTCGACATAATGATCCAAGACTTAACACCAAACATTGTCTCCAAGTGCAGTACTTCTTTGTCTGCCCTCTACTTGTCTGAGAATGCGGAGTGGGGTCTGGACTTCACACTCATTGCTGACAAACTTTTTTCTGTCTTTGCTCGCCTTTCTTGTCTTGGCCACAACCAAAGGAAAGCTGGCAAACCTTTGCTTTGGAAGATGCTCTTAGCTACAATTGCCTGAGGCCGTCTTGTATGTCGTTGATTGCATGCAAGACCCAAGGCACTAACATCGACGATACCTTATCATTTGTGATCTTTGCTCTGCGGATATTCCCTGAAGCCCCTTCAACAAACAGGAGCCTGTCAAACATCTCCCTCCAGTCGCACTGCTTGTCCGAAGAACATCAACTTTTCGTCCACGAGTAGGAAAACGGGTCTCCCTAAAGACAGTCAGCCTCTACATGTATTCTATCATGTTGAAGAGAAAGCTCAGGTTTTACTCACAAATGTCTGTTCAAGCCCGCGCTGGACATCGGAGAGTTCGTACTGGATTTGTTTCTTGTACCGCTAAATGGTATTTTCCGAATCTATCGGTTAGGTACTCCAGCAGCAGCAGGAGAAGCAAGGGCCGCAGCAGATACAGCAGGACATTTTCCGGCAGACTTTGAATGTACCCTTTGCTGCTCCCTTTGCTGCTGACCCAGTGAGCTTCGCTACGCCCTTTGCTGCATAGCCAAAGAGTTGGCATGCGGCGGCGACAGCTCCGAGGATTGACACGGGCTCCATGGACAGTTAGGAAGGAAAGCGACAAGGTATGATGGAGGACTGGAAAACTGGAGAACGGTGGTTGAGGATGATGGAGGAAGAATGGATGGACGGAGGAATGGGTCTGTCAGAAGCTTGAGAGTCACCCGGAAGAGGAAGAGAAGAACGCTTATAACGACGAGATTCTAGTAAGCAGCGGCTACGTGAGTACATGTCGTCGCTGGTATCTGAGCTGTTATGAGGTCTGGTGGAATCCACAACAATTGGACGACGCCTTGAAGCCCTCCTTCGACACAGGAGGCCCATCAACCACGATTTCTGCCGTAATTCGTTAGGACTTGGAGCGGCGCCTTATTATAAGCCGCAACGCCAACTGAGCTGCATGTAGGTATGTCGCTGGTATCTGAAGTGTGATTGATGGGGGTTATCCAATACTTGGGCAATGTTATTCTTCCACACAGCCATAAGAGGGCCCATTACCTAGGTAGTTCTAACCACAACACGCTTCCTGTCGTTATTCGTCGCCATGTAAGACTCTGAGCGCCTCCCTCACTCTGACTGATTTTGCCCTAACAAGCAGAGCCGCAACGCCAAGCAGCTGAGCTGTACAATGTTCAGTGATTGAGTGAGCTGTTCGGTGCGAGGCAACTGTCAAGTGTCAGCCACTCTTTCTGAAAGTCAGCTCAGGCCAGTACCTAGATATAGTTCATTCATTCACCAGGTTCTTAGCGTCTCATAGGTATGAATGCCAGCAACTGAATTCAAATTTCCAGGCTACTCGTTCTCGGGTTGGTTGGGAACAGGGTTTCGGACTCTGAAAACCTAGGGGTAAGTAAGGTGCTGAGGAGAGTAGCGTAGGTAGAATTGGGAAGCAACATCTGCATGCATCCTTCACAGCCATAACAGCGACATCAACATTGATTACGGCCACCAAAACTGCAGTGGGCTTCCCCCCCATTGCCGCCAGCCCGAACGAATACACAAGCTAACAAGATAAAGGACGATTCTACTAAAGGGATCAACTGACTTTCCTTCACGGTGCTTTTTTTTTTTTTGTGTTCAAAATCCTCTTTTAATTCATCAACTAGCCTTTTTACATCTTTAAACTAGCGGTGGTGGTGGGTATAATGCATCCTTTTCGCTTACAAAACAAATCCTTTACTCATCCTTAACATGCAAAACCGCCTTGCCAAAGTTCTCGCCCTTGAAGATACCGACGAGACCCTCAGCAGCCTTGTCGATGCCCTCGGTATAGTGGAGCTTGAACTTGACGGAGCCATCGGCGATCCACTGCGACAGCTGCTCCTGGTGCTCCTTGTAGTGCTTGGGACCAAAGTCCTTGTCGGAGACGATGAAGCCGCGGAAGTCGATGCGCTTGGAGACGATGTGGAAGAGGTTGGTGACGCCGTAGCGCTCCTCGGGCTTGGCGTTGTATTGGGAGATCTGTTTTGAGAGTGTTAGTATTTTGTTGTTGACGGGGGATGAGATGGGGAATGGAGGAGAGTAAAAACGTACCATGCCGCAAGCAACAATGCGACCCCACTGGTTAAGGCACTCCAGCGCAGCCTGGAGGTGCTCACCACCGACGTTCTCGTAGTAGATATCGATACCCTCGGGCGCCAGCCTCTTGAGGGCATCAAGCGGCTTCTCCTTCTTGTAGTTGAAGCCGCCATCGAAGCCGAGCTCGTTGATGATGAAGTCGAGCTTCTCGTCGCTGCCGACGGAACCGATGACCTTCAGGCCCTCGCGCTTGGCGATCTGGCCGACGACCTGACCGACAGCACCAGCGGCACTGCTGACGAAGATGGTCTCGCCCTTCTTGGGCTGGCCAATCTCGTGGTAGGACGACCAGGCGGTCAGGCCGGGCATGCCCAGGGGGCCGAGGAAGAGGCCGAGGTCCTTGAGGTTGTGCAGGTTGTTGATCTTGTTCTGCACCGTCTGGCCGACCTGCTCCTTGGTGAGGGTGGCATACTCGGCGATGGGCAGGTGGGCGATGACGAGGTCACCCTCCTTGTAGTCGGCGTTGTCAGACTTGAGGACCTTGGCAACGGTGGCGTTGGTGACAGGCTCGTTGAGGTGGTAAGGAGGGGTGTAGGACTTGGTGTTGGCCTCGCGCATGCGGCCGCGCTGGTAAGGGTCGAAAGAGGCGTAGAGAATGGAGAGAACCAGGCCGCCCTCGGGGGCAGCGGCGTTGGGGTCGAAGCCCTTGTCCTCGATGACGAGATGCTCACCAGGGACGGGGTAGTCCGTGGGGATCTTCTTGAAGATGAGGGTCTTGTTGGTGGTGCCGGTCATTTTGGCGGTTTGTTTTCCTGTATTGTTTGTTGACGTGGTGATGTTTTGTCTTGGTGGTGAGGGGTATCAATGCAAGCTGTTTGAGATTCAGTGAAGAGCCAGAATCAGATGCGATGAACCGAACAGCGACACCTCGACATTTATATCAAGTCCATTTCAAAGAGGCAAGAGTGCCAGCGTCAACAGTGGAGACAGTACTGGGGATCAACTGGGGCTCTTTTTGCTGATAAAGCACGTTTTCGATGGAACGATTGGAATCATGAAGAAATGGTGACGTGGGGCAAGCAACTCGGAGACTTTCAGACACAGTTTCCATCCCTCTCGGCAGCGACGCCTATCCGCCCCATCTTTTAGAACCCTTTCCCTGGAAGATGGCGAGAAACGAAGAGATCGATGATGGTGATGCACAAGACACATCCGAAAGGGAAACTGTCCCGTTGCGTGTTTAGTTACGTCAATGTTGTGTTGTTGGGGTAATGCTGCCCAGCAATTGCGCGATTGTGAGCTTGATAAGCTTGCAATTGTCATCGCCTGTATCTCGAAGCATTCTATCCCCTCAATTGACACCTCAGAGCTGTGCAATTCAGTGCAATGTCTTAGGTGTTTCGTGCTCCGTTGCTTCAATTACCAGATTGACCACTTGGAAGAGGCGGAGCGAATCCCGTTGCGGTGCAATTGCCCGTTATCCCAAGTGCCGAGGCATTTCCGGAGGGGAATTTAACCTTTCACTCTTCACCGATTCACGTTCCACTTTCCACTTCCCGCTGTGATTTCTAAGCACAAAAACACAACTATTGAGCCGATGGAGTTTATGCAAGATCCTAAAACTCCGCTGGTACCCCTTCCCTCGGATTACTGATCGAGACCGATGACGGGAATCAATTGCAACTGCCGCGGAAGGCGCCCAAAGAGACACCAACGGAAAGCATCGAGGAAAGAGCTCCCGTCTGTTTGCACCAAAATTTTGGGAAGCAATTGTTTACATTACGTCATGACACTCTGCCGGCAGGCAATTGTGATAGCAGCGATAAGCGATAACGGATACCTCCAGCGATCAGCTCAATGCCGGATGTGTCCCCGGCAGGCACTTATTTGCGGCAGGCAGATAACCGATAGCGATAACTATTTCTTATCTATCTATCACCCTAACCCTCCCGCTCCATGTACTTTCTCTACTTGTACCTCTTTTCTTCTCCTTTTCCCCTCTCTCTTCCAACACCAAACACCAAACAAACACTCCCCTTCTCTTTCCCCTTTACCCTTCCCTTCTTCCTCTCCCCATTTCCAATTAATGAGCAAACCTAAAATCCAACCTCCGACTCCCCTGCACCTTGGTAGTCTTGATATACTCCACCCTCTGCTCCTCCGTCATCGCATTCCACACCTTCTCCTTCTGCTTATTCCTCCAGACATAATACGCCTTGGTGAACAAGAACACCCCGATAGCGATAAAGTTGATCACCACCAGCTTGGTGTTTCCGTCCTTATAATACGGCTTGTCGTAGTCGAGATAGATGAAATTGGAAATCACGTTGCCCGTCTGCACACACATGTTGTACAGCGCGGCGGATACCGTGCGGGCGCCGACGTTGTTAGCGTTTTTGGACGTCCAGGCTACCAGGATCGCATGGCAGTAGGGGTAGGACAGCAGTACGGACATCAGCGCGTAGGTGCCCCAGTGGTTGTCGATTAGGCCGGGCCAGAACTTGAGGGCGAGGATGCAGGGGAGCGTCCAGAGGGACTGGAGCATGGCGACGAAGGTCCGTTCTTGCAGGATGTCGGAGAGGCGGGTCAAAAGGAGGAGGGTGATGATGTGGACGACGGACTTTTTCCCATTCTATCAGTATTTTTCGTTTCGACATGGACAAACTGCAGGAAGAAGGGGCAAAACTCACCGAAGGAATAACCAGCAGGTTGGTGTTGAAAGCGCTAAAGCCCAACTTCCTCAACGTCAAAGTCAAGTAATAGCTGGGCGGCGTATGCGGGATATACGCCACCAAGCCGATCGCATAGAGCGGCCAGAGATCGTAATCCTTCAGCGTCTCCCACAGCCTCTTCGGGGTAATAGCCTCGCGGTTATGCATGTCGCCCTTGGACGGATCGTCTCTCAACACGCGGTTAACGACGATAGAGACTTCCCTGTCCGTGAACCAGCCGTTGGGGCGAAACCACGTCTTGGTCTGCACGGCCGAAGCGGGCATCATGAAGAAGGAGGCTAGGCCAATGGATAGAGTGATCAGACCCTCCACCAAAAACATCCATTGCCAGCCCGCCCAGCCGTTGATGCCGCGCATGCGCAGGAGGCCGAAGGCCATGAGGGAGGTGATGATGGAGGTCGAGGAGAGGGTGGTCCAGAAGTAGGAGAGGCGGATGGGAAGCTCGCGCGAGGTGTAAAAGTAGGAGAGCCAGAGGACGATGTCGGGGATGAAGCCGCCCTGATAATTGTCAGTTTGCATTCTTTTATCCAGAGGCTTGGATAACGGGGTTGGAAGACATACCTCGATGAGACCCAGCAGACAACGAGTAGCGAAGAAACTACCCCTTCCATTCAACGAGCACTGCGAGATGGCCACGACCGACCAAAGGACAATCTGAACCGGAATCCAGCGATCCGGACCAAGCTTCTTCGACAGCAACTGAGATGGCAGCTCAGCGGCAAGGAACGACACCAAGAAAATGACGTTGCCGTAGTTGTAGTCTGTCATGTCACAGTCATTGTCAGCCTCGCTCATCTTTCCTCAACCCCCTTCCCCCAATTCTTTCCCTGGTAGTACTAACCATTAGTATTCAACCCCAAATCATCCAACATATCATCCGCCAACGCCTGGCTCAAATTCCCACGATCAACCTGCAACGCGAAAAACATGACAATAGCCCACGCGCAAGCCCGGAAGTCGATCTTCCTGATAACCGCCTTCTCTTCCTCCTCCGTCCAGGTCACATGCGGATCAAAGGCATCCTTGCACTCGTAGTCGGCTTCTTCGTATACCTTGCGCCAGTGCTCGGCGACGACCGGGTCCAGGAAGGGGTTTGCCTTGAGCTCCGAGTAGTCGGAGGCTTCGGAGAGATCTGAAGAGGAGGAAGATGTGAAGGTGTTTTTGGGATCGAGGGTGCCGTATTTCTTCTCATCCGAGGGGGTCGGGAGCGGGGAGGAGGCGGAGATGGGAGAGTCTGACGGGTTGGAACCCGAGCCCGAGTTCGGGTAAGGTGGTGGTTGTTGGGACATGGCGCTCGGATGTCAAGTCGTTTCGTGGTGTCGTTATGTATGGGAGGTAGGTGAGATGAGATGAAAGGGTGTCGTTCTGTCTGATGCTGAGGGAAGCACAAGGTCCGAAACCTGGCAGGTTACAGATCGGACTGAAGAGACCGTGAAATAGATGAGTTACCGACAGGCTGGTTGGTCCGTCAACCTGAAGTGAGGCTCAAGTGTCGATGTCGATGATGGTCAGTGGTTCATGCAGTCATTGTGAGACAAACAACACAAGACAACACAATGACCGGAGATGGAGATGACTGAAGACAAAGGTACTTGGGAACATGATGCTTGGAAAGTTGGGAATGCCTTAAATACAACGTGCTCTTGGGTTACTCTCTTCCCGCCTCTCATCCCACCATTGAGACATTGAGAAGATGAATGAAATATCCTACCTTGATTGCGTGATAGTTGAGACGCAAGTCTGCTGGGCTGGTAGTCTAGGGTTGGGCTGGTAGTCTAGGGTTGGGCGCGGTTGGCAGTTGGCGGGTTGTCGCAATGTTCACTTGGGGAATGATGGGACAGACACTTGGCCTACTTCGGAAGAGTGCTCGGGAAACCAAGCAACGAGCAACAATGGAAGCAAAGAGACCTACCCTTGCCCGTCTTTCGGCCACCAGCTGTTCGCCACTTTTTCCTTCCCCAGGTATGTGTCTGTGGTTGATGTTACTTGATAGCGTATTCCTCAGCGCTGACCTCGACTCCTCGAGCGCGTTCTGGACGAGCGGCCTGGCATGCTGATACGTATGGCGAACAAGAAAAGAAAAGCGTGGGGAAGTGAGACTGTGGGAGCAGGGCCAAGGGAGAGGGTGTTGCAGCCGAACCGAACCCGGGGAACCACTACCGGTAAGACGTTCGACGACGCGGACAAAACTTTGGTATTACGTTGAAGAAGATTGGTCAATGGTATCATCAATGGTAGGCTTCTGCAGGTTGCGTGCTCTTTGGGCTTGGGGAGGCTGATAGGGGTCCAGTGCCAATGTGAGTACCAGCGTGGGTCGGAGCGAGTGAGCCGCGCCATACAGGTCAACGGGTAAGTCATGTATCTATGTCGTGATTCCCTTCAGTATGAGACGATTGCGCTGGTTCGGAGCAACTTGACTATAGGGGATAGAGATCCCGGTCGACAGTCGTACTCTTTGGGTACTTCTTGTTACCTTTCGGGTGATGGCCTAGACCTTTTTGACTTCGTTGGCTACTTTCAATGGTTTGATGCAGTCTTTCTCAGCTGGTAAAAGACGGAATGGGGGTGTTGTTTATGGTTTGGGGGTTGAGACACAGCAGACGAAAGTTGTTCTGGACGGGAGCGCCGCCTCCATCGTCATGAGGCGAAAAGCCAGTATCGAAATAAACGGCCAAGGTGAGATTGGATCGTTCCTGACATCTCTTGCCATCTCTTGACGAAGCTTATCACAGCCCCTCTGCGCCTTCCTAAACAACAAAAGTCGAAGGCGAACTCGCTCAGTCGCTCTTTCCTTCCCAGCCTTCCTTCTTGGCGCCCGCAGATGCACACCCACGTTCATTGCGAGATGCATTCCCGTACCAAGGTCGGTTCCAACGACCGCGAAACGCCATTGGGGCTATATGTGAGCAGCGCATAGCGACACATCGCAATCAATGGTGCAATGGTTTCCTTTATGTGCGAATTGTGTGGGAGGTTGTGGGAGGTTCGCCAGTGATGTACGGTCTTGGGGGCTGTTCGTCAACCCCCTGGAGTATGGCACCATCACGACCCCGCTCGTCTGGGTGTTAAGGTGTCAGCCACAGTAATACCCACGGCCCTGCGACAAAAAAACGCCCAGGGTCTCTCTTTGCAAGAAGGTAGTGGATTTTATAAGAATATCAATTGTCCAAAAGTAGTCCCTCGAGGATGGCCTTTCTACGGTATACCGAATTGGAACTCCCTTCGCGGCGAAAGTGTGCCACTTACATGCGATGCTCCTGAATTCGACAGATCTCGTTCTTTAAATGCAAACATATACTATCATATCCCCCCACCTCACCCATCACTCTCCGAGGCTTCCTCTTGATCATCCTCTTGATCATCCTCTTGATCACTCTCTTGATCATCCTCTTGATCATCCTCTTGATCACTCTCTTGATCATCCTCTTGATCATCTTCCTCCTGTTCCTCTTCCTCCTGTTCCTCTTCCTGTTGTTCTTCCTGTCCCCCTTCCTGTCCCTCTTCCTGCTCTTCCCCTTCAGGCGATTCCTCCCGCCTCCCATACCTCCGCCTCCTAGCCTTCTTGACCATCTTCCTAACCAAGCTCATCGTCTCACGATACTGTTCATTCCGCTGTCGCAACCGTTTCCTATAATCCTGCCTCTCATCGTCTTGCAGCATTCGCTCCATTTGATCAATGTATGGTTTCTGAAACATGTCATTCACTCGTTTATTCATCTCCTCCACCCTTGCCGCCCGCCTCTTTCCCAATTCCCTCATCTTATCCGTCTTCGCCAGACGAGCGTTCTCGTGCTCCGGCCCGTACTCGACCAAGACCTTGTAGGCCGGTCCATTAAGCGACTTCATCAACTCTTTCATCTCCTTCTCCGCTTCGTTTTCCCGAAGCTTCCTGGTCCGGAACGGCATGTGATAGTGCCTCAGATCTGGCGGTCGAACCGTCAAGATGCTGACTGTGCGTGGGTCTGCCGGATCGTTCAAACATCTCTCGACGTGACACTTGGCTTCTCGTACCAGGTCCAGTAACCTTTCCGCTGTATCAAAATAAGCAGGCTTTTCCCACTCTTCAAACCGGGCGGTACCCTGCCATTGCTGTATCAACTGATCTGGCCCCACCATCTCAAAACGTTGAATCACCTCGATGAGATCATAAGAGTAAGGCCCGCGTTCGGCCTCTGAAAAAAGCCACAAATCTGGGTAGTTCTTGGGATCGAACCAGTTCGATTGGCCTTCTATTGGGATCTCGTCTCGGTGGTAAGTCCTGTCCAATATGATCCGTCGCAGCAGCATCCCCATGGCGTAGATATCCTGCCACGTGTCCGGCTCCTCCATTTGCCAGATTCGGTCCTTGGGGCTCACGCCATATCTAGCCTCTCTGATCTGATCCAAGGGTAGCGACAGACGACCAAAGTGAATGATGCCGTTGTCGTGAGGCTCTTCACCTCTTCTTGCCGCGTTGTCAAAGGTGGTCAGCACCACGCGCGGAAGCCGGCCATCCATGGTTTGGTCGTAGAAATCCTCGTTCTCCTCCGGCCAATGCAGCATAATGTTGTCCATGGTCAACCATCGATGGCAAATTGGTGCCAGTTATCGGGTTCTACCCCATCGCGCTCGGTAATGCCGAAGTGCAGAAAGAGGAGGGCTCCTCCGAGCTGCGCTATGACGTGCCAGATAAACGCTTCGTCAACGTACTGGGTCACCTCACCTGCCCTGTTGATACGCATGATTGCATGCTCGAGCGAGCCGCCGTTCAAGTATTCGTAGTACAGAGATGCGTTGTAGATTTCTTCGTAGGAGTCCCCGGCTTCTCTCCGTCTCTTAAACATGGCGTGGTCCAGTTTCCCGTCCGTCTCATCGTGAGGGAAACCATACGCGTACAATTTCTGGAAGTAGGGCTTATGAGGGAGATGCACCTCTACACGTGGGTCATCGCCGTTGTCTCCAACAAGCTGAGCGAAACGAATATCGCCAGGGATCGCATGGGCGTACATCTGCAAGCGGAGTGTCAAGTGTTCTTCCATATCGGGGTGATCAGGGTATAAGGTCGCCAGGTGTTCGCTCTTCAGGTACTTGCGTACGCGCTTGTTGATGAGCAATTCGTCGGTATGCAAGTCTTGAACAAGCAGGATTCGGTTGAGAGGAGCAAGCTGTTTGATGAGGAGGAATCCCTTTGTACCACTGCGTCCGCTGCGTCCCTGAAGCCACTTGTAGCTCTGCATTTGGTCATCCTCGACGTCGACGCTGCCCCGGTCTATAGGGGCCGACTCCCAATGAGCGGCGGGGAAGAGGATGGACCAGTGAAACATATCCCCGGCTAGGGTTGGGCGCTGTGGTTCTGGTGATGCAGCAGCATCTCTTCTTCTTCTTCGTCTTGCAGGCATGTTGGGGTCGGTGCTCTGCGTTGTATCAATCTAGAATTTTTAATAAATGTGAGAAAATTATTGGAGCAAGCAATCGGTTCCCATTTATCTAGAATTGAGCTCACGAAGCTTTATGAGTATCATCATTGTGCAGGCGTCCTTTGTGTCCTGCTATCCGCTTTCGGCATCGAGGCGTTGAACCAACAAAGGGTGTTGGGTGGCAGGCACGTATTAGCCGTAGTCAACAATCAACAAAGGCAGTCAGTACCTCTACCAGCCAAAATGGCCAAGCAACCTGCACACCTTGCAGTCTGGCCAGAATCTAGTAAAAGAAAGTACTCTTGGTTCGTAGCACGCATGGAAGGCCAAGGGATAGTCGCACTCAAGGGGCCAAAAACCGTCCGAGGTTTGCCGAGTCGATGCGTCTTTGTACGGATCCTAACACTCAGATGAGTTTGTTGTCGCACCGGCTCACATCAGCATGATTCGCTGGCCGGATGAAAAGGCTTCAGCCCACTGTGTCGTCTCGACGCCCTCCCCGTCCATCAAAGCATGGTCATAACAAGTACCAAGCACCCAATAACCACTCACACCACCATTTGTTTCCCGCAGCATCACAGGAACCTGCCCTCCCCTGAAAAGGGCAATGGTATCTCCAGGACAAGTTTGTCGGGGCGCCAGCCCAGGCCTGCCAGACGCATCGACAAATGCACGTCTTCCGTATATCTTCCAAACACGACGGTAGTCCCAAGACTCCGCCAACATCCAGCTTCTCATTGTTTCTTCCCTTGTTTGGGCTTCTGCAGGGGGCGCAACTCTCCCCAGAAGGACTTTAAAGCCATGGATATACCGCTCTGGGGTCTCCGTCTCTGCGCGGGTCGCTAGGCCAAAATCCGCCATGGGAACTCGCCAGATATTGTCCTTTGCGACTTCATCACTTTCACTCGCCAATTGCTGCAGCTCTTCCAGCCATGCGCGGCATTCGGCTAAGTAATTCTCCTGTCCTTGGAAACTAGTGAACTCTGAGCCAACACGGATCACAGTTGACATCACTGCTCCCGGCAAGAAGAGAGCGGGTCTCGACTCTCCAATCACTGCAGTCTCCAACATGTTGTCCAAGGGCCATTTTGTTCCCTTTGTGGCGTTAAAGTCGAGCACACCTCCAGCTCCATCAAGGTTGACGCTGCCGATGGTCGGTCTCCGAGGTGCTGTCCAGTCAGGCACCCAAGAGGGAAGTCCCTCGTCTACCCAACGAGCGGTCTCCCGCTGATAGCACAACACATCAGGGCCATATTCTTGTATCAAAGCTGTGGCGACGTGCGTGAGAACCGTGCTAACCGTTGTCTTGTCTGAGTAATCGACCGGGATCTTCTTACTGTCACTCTCTCGTATGAGACCAAGCAATCCATAGATGCGATCACGAGGATCAGTCGCCTGGATGGCCTTGTCCTCTCCATCGGCAAAGTCGGTAAACAGCAGCACCTCCATGAGCCGCATGCCATCTTGTCCTTGCCGGAGAGAGCGCCTGTGTGCATTTGTGGCCTCCTCTAGATGCATAACACTGGGTATGATGTCTCCAAGCAACTCATACACCCGCCGATACTCGGGATCAATGTCCAAGTAGAGGGTCATCCACTCAAACAACTGCAGCGCATCCCGAACATCATCCCAGTCCACCACCACTCCCTCACCACTTCCACAGGCCACCACCGCCTTGCGAGCCAGCACCACTTCCTGCACGATCCATAGCCGTCGCCAGTACGGTCGCTCACAGAAGAGTTGCCAGATGCGCTCAAAGTCAAACCCACCAGCTTTGGCGTTCTCCTGTCCATAGTCCCGAGTGATGCTGTACTGGAGCACAGTCCACACAAACCCCTGGGCAACTCTCCTTCTCTGGTCTTCCTCGCTAAGGCCCTCAAGAGCACTTGGTAGCGGTCCCTCGCGCTTTTTCATCACCTGGTCTCTGAACATGCTCCCCAGCCAGGCTACGGTCTTGAGCGTGCATCCACAATCCCTATGCGGCCCTTCGCCCGGACGGGGTAGCAAGCCTAGCCAGACGAACACCCTGGTAGCACTTGTGTAGATTTTGCTCATAAGTGGGACCTGAATGGCCTTTTCATCGTTGTCAACTTGGTTGATGCAGAGGGCGTCAATCCAGTAACTTGTTTTGAAGCCATTGTCCTCGGGCTGTTGCTGTTGGGATAAAAGGAACATAGAGCCGAGTAGAGGTTAGGCGTGACGGTCACAGGGACGTAGTCGAGTAGGATCGTAGGAAGGGGTTCATCGAGGTTTGGGACACCCCAAACGTAGGATAGGGCCTGGAAGGGCGGCAGTCCTACTGACAGTGAGGGTGGTGAGAGGGGGTGATGACTGAGAAAGAGGGAGATAATTGGCGACGCAGAATTGGAGTCTGGGGGTGCGTTGTGGGTGATGTCAAAGGTCAGAAGCCGGATTTCTTCTGTCGTGCCGTCGAGGGGTTTGTGAGGAGACTTTGGGGCCATGTCAGCGATGTTGTAACGGGATGAAGGCTGAGAGTTTGGGTCAGGAAGAAGCTGAACGGTTCAAGGCCTTGTTCAGAGGAGAAGAAAACTCCAATTGTTAATCGCCACGAGGAAAAGTGTGACGGTCATCCTCGAACATAAGTAGGACGCTCCTTCGAGATCACACATTGGGCGCTGAAGATGATAGGCAGCAGCGAACTTGGCGTCGCGAATTGCGATTGCCTCCAGTGGCTGCCCACAGTAAGCACGCACACCGCGCCTGCTGTGATAAGGGCAGTATTCTGGGCTTGGA